TTACTAACATGTCTTTATATCAGGATGACTGTAAAGGTACATTTTACCGACATTTGAAGTCAAGGCGTTGTTTTACTGATAGTTGTGGCTAACTAATCACAATGCTGGCAAGCATGACCGTGCCTCTTATATTCACAATACTATTTACCCCCTTTACTATTTACCCCCTTTACTATTTACCCCCTTTACTTTTATAACCCTTTATTGTTTTTCGGGCATTAAGACTCATCGAAAGTAGTTCAGCAGGTATATTTAAGTTCAAATCATTCTAATTCAATGTTAAAGATGACAGGAACAAGAAATAGTTATGTGGAGGTTTTTAAGAAATTTGCGCAAAATACGCGCCAGCATGTTATACGAAATTCGGTAAAAAACCCAAAATTGCCATATTCAGGTGCCTTAAAAACCATGTTAAAATTGAGTTAGAGATCTGAAACTTTGCAGGGCGTCTAGACGTTGACCAAATCGACTGTAAAAAAATTTCATGTTTCAGGAGTATCGGGAAATGGGTTTTCTGGAACCCCTGTTTTACGATAGATTGTCGTGATACATATATTCAGGGATAGACGCTTTGCCAGTCAAATGTAGTCAATTGTAGCCTGAATTTAAGTGTCCGGAGATTCAAAAGTATAAAAGATACAGCAATTTCCGACCACAGGTCTTAAAGATAATTGTTTACACTTCAGTTTTAATTATATCGAAAAATAATTTAACGTCATCATCACCACTTGATGACGTCATCAAATTAAGTGTTTTTAAAACTTGATTTTTGACAAAATAACAACTTTTCAAACTGATTTTACACCATTAAGGAGTAATTTTATTCAAAATCTGAGGACATTTTCACCTTAGATAATTGTTCAAGCATTCTGAAAATCTACCGGAAAGTTTCTCTACCTTGCTCCTTCATAAAGATATTTGCCATTGAAGTTTGTGCTTTTTGAAGAATTATTTTATAAAAACGTCAATTTTGCGATTTAGTATTCTCTGGTGTTGGGCTATCCCTTGGGTTGTGGAGCTCAGTTCTGCTTCCTATAGGTATAAATTGTGTATTAGGCTAGTTTTAAAGTTAAAAATCTAAAAGTTGCACACGTGGGGACACGCCCAAATTGATTAAAAATTGCTAAAATCACTGAAAATTGCTGTTTTTACCATTTTCTGTAAACGTTGGTGTGCCGTTGTGATTACAGTTCTTCTTGAAATACTTTGAAACTTTGCATGCTTATCAAACTATATATAAAACACCAACACGCGAAAATTTACGGCGATTCAATATTGGATGCGCACGCAACGTCCGCTCATAGTTTGCACGTGCGAAAGGTGATAATTTTGCTCATTCGTGATTTCGAACAAATTCTGCTTTACCACGACAGTTCAATGTCATTATATATAAATTTAATGCCAACTTGAATGAGTATAAAGTGGCAAATTCAGTCAGTGATCGACCGATATGCTTACCCAAACACAAGGAAATGTTTTCAAAGGAAAAATTTCGAAATCGTTGAAACTTCCTCCTTATTAATGAAGATATCAGTTTATATTTCGACTTTATAAAGTACCCGCTGACATTAATCAAAAAGCGATGATATTTGACCAAAACCCATAATCATGGGTAGAGTGGACCGCTGCCAGTGTCTCTCTTTCCCAAACAAAAGGAAATGATATTAATTTGATTGACCGTTCTCAAATGCAAAATGATACCGAGAATGAAATCGGTCGCTCGCTTTTCCCATTCATTCACGGCTTACGAATTGTAATAAGTTTCGATTGATTACATCAATCAGATGCTGTAAAAATCTCTTTGGGTTGCGTTCGGGTCGATACCTAGTATTTCGGGGTAAGGTTGGTAGTTATTACTTATTGAATTAGCTGAAGTTTATTGAATTTTTTGCCGAGTACAGCTGTACTCGGCAAAAAATTCAATAAACTTCAGCTAATTCAATAAGTAATAACTTAATAATAATTAAGAAGAACTACCCAAAGGCAGCTAGCTGCCTTTGGGTAGTTCTTCTTAATCTATTACAATTGTAAATGAATGGGAAAAGCGAGCGACCGATTTCATTCTCGGTATCATTTTGCATTTGAGAACGGTCAATCAAATTAATATCATTTCCTTTTGTTTGGGAAAGAGAGACACTGGCAGCGGTCCACTCTACCCATGATTATGGGTTTTGGTCAAATAATATATATATATATATATATCACGACAATCTATCGTAAAACAGGGGTTCTAGAAAACCCATTTCCCGATGCTCCTGAAACCTGAAACTTTTTTTGCAGTCGATTTGGTCAACGTCTAGACGCCCTGAAAAATGTCAGATCTCTAACTCAATTTTAACATGGTTTTTAAGGCACCTGAATATGGCGATTTTGGGTTTTTTACCGAATTTCGTATAACAGTGCTGGCGAGTATTTTATGCAAATTTCTTAAAAATCCCAACATAACTATTTTTTATTCCTGTCATCTTCGACATCAAATTAGAATGTTTTGAACTAAAAATAAATCTGCTGAACGACTTCCGATGAGTCTTAACGCCTGAAAAACTCCTGCCGGAGGCGGCGGCCGAAGGCCGCCGCCTCCGGCCGGAGTGCACGCTTCGCGTGCACGAAAGAGGCTTCCGACGAGTACAAAAGGGGTTATATTAGTAAAGGGGTATAATATTAAAGGGGGTACAATAGTAAAGGGAGTACATAGTATACCCCCAACAAAGACACCGCTCGTGCTTGCCAGCACTGTGATATTCAGGGATAGACGCTTTGCCAGTCAATTATAGGCTATATTTAGGTGTCCGTAGATTCAGAAGTTATAAAGATACAGCCATTTCGGACAACAGGTGTTAAAGATAATTGTTTAGACTTTAGTTTACATTATGTTAAAAAGTAATTCAACGTCATCATCACCACTTGATGACGTCATCAAGTTAACCATTTTTAAAACTTGATTTTTTACAAAGTAATCATTTTTCAAATCGATTTTACGCCATTAAGGAGTAATTTTATTCAAAATTTGAGGACATTTTCACCTTAGACAATTGTTTAAGCATTCTGAAAATCTACCGGAAAGTTTTTCTAGCTTGCTCCTTCATAAAGATATTCGCTATTGAAGTTAGTGCTTTTTTAAAGAATAATTTTATAAAAACGCTAATTTTACGTTCTAGTATTCTCTGGTGTTGCACCATCCCTTGGGTTGTGGAGCTCAATTTTGCTTTCTAAAGGTCTAAATTGTGTCATAGGCTAGTTTTAAAGTTGAAAATCGAAAAGTTGCATACGTGGGGCCACGCCCAAATTGATAGAAAATTGCTAAAATCACTGAAAATTGCTGTTTTCACCAATTTCAGTCAACTTTGGAGTGCCGTTGTGATTACAGTTCTTCTTGAAATACTTTGAAACTTTTCATGCTTATCAAACTATATATAAAACACCATCATGCAAAAATTTACGGTGATTCAATATTGGATGCGCACGCAACTTCCGCTCAAGGTTTGCACGTGCGAAAGGTTCAAATTTTGCTCATTCGTGATTTTGAACAAATTCTGCTTTGCCACGACAGTTCAATGTCATTATATATGAATTTAATGCCAACTTGAATGAGTATAAAGTGGCAAATTCAGTCAGTGATCGACCGGTATGCTTACCTAAACACAAGGAAATGTTTTAAAAGGAAAAATTTCGAAATCGTTGAAATCACTTCCTTATTAATATTAATGAAGTTATGAGTTTACATTTCGGCTTTGTAAAGTACCCTGACATTATAATCAAAAAGAGATGATATTTGACCAAAACCCATAATCATGGGTAGAGTGGACCGCTGCCAGTGGCTCTCTTTCCCAAACAAAAGGCAATGATATCAATTTGAATGACCGTTATCAAATGCAAAATGAATCCGAGAATGAAATCGCTCGCTCGCTTTTCCCATTCATTTACAATTGAAATAGATTTCATATATAAATCGAAACTTATTACAATTCGTAAGCCATGAATGAGTGGGAAAAGCGAGCGACCGATTTCATTCTCGGATTCATTTTGCATTTGATAACGGTCATTCAAATTGATATCATTGCCTTTTGTTTGGGAAAGAGAGACACTGGCAGCGGTCCACTCTACCCATGATTATGGGTTTTGGTCAAATTTGTTATTACAATCCTGTAAAATGATTTCAAATATTTGATATTTTAGGAGCTATATCAATATGCATTTTAAGCAAGAAATTACCTGTTTTTCGTCCTTTTTACACTCTTGCAATGCACAGGAGGCCCACATACAGCTTGATGTTATCGTGCTACACGGTGAATTTTCATTATTCACACTGCACTTAGGGGCCACTTTTGATACCAAATTTACCAAAATCAGAAACAAAAAGTTCTGTGCCAACTCATGGCGCTTATTACATAAACTATTGATATTTCATGACATGAAGAGCCTCTTTCTACCGGACCACATAGTGGAATTCACCAAGTTCGTCGCTCCGCTATGCAGAACACGATTTCCTAAAAAGAAGAAACACGAACATTAGTGTCACAGTTCGAGACATCACCTTTCCTCCGCAGCCCCTTCATTTGCACTCTACTCCACCACAATCACATCTTTAACTCCTTTACCACACCCACACGGACATAGCTCAAGCATCTTCATTCTTCACTTCGTTTTTTTTTCTATAAGGGTTTGCGTGCTTTTCTATCTCTTTGTTAGCTATAAGCTTGGACGATATGCACTCGCCTTTAGAACGACATGACTTTCTCTTGGTTTAAACACCTTAATGGTAACGGATTTTCTACTTGGATTTTGGACTATGACTTTTTAGCAACTCTGATCTGACATTATTTCACTGCAATATAGATCAATTTTTTGTAAACTTTGTAAACTCTCTAAACCTTGTATGCCATCTATAGTTGGATGCGGGTGAGAGATTCAGTCAAAGCTGTAAAATTTTGGTCGTGGAAATTTCATCTTCAACAGAGAATGAAAGCTTCTCGCTCGAACAATCAACAACGCAGTTTATTAATCTATAACATCGAAGAGGGTAATCATGTAATGACTGAAACAAAAATATAAAGTATTTCCAATTCAAGACTGGACTATACACACGGAATTATAGTTCAACGATTTAAGATCGGTAAAACAGAAACGCTGATACGGATAACTCATTGTTCATGTTTTCGAGCGTAATGCTGTATACACTCAAATATTTTCTCCTTTTTAATGGTTCCTTTGATTAACAATGAAAAAAATCATTATTCTACTTTTATGTTTCATGTATGAAAAGCTGCTCTAAAATACACCCAACTGCATTCACTGTGAAACTATAAAGCGTAAATTAATGAACAATAAAAGAATAAACAGTTCTTATTAATATTATTTAATACAAATTAAGGTACATAAGAGTTTGCTATAAACACAATCTTTGTACAATGTACATGCTGGATAAAAATTGAACTGTCAGTGTCAATATCTGATTCTGACGACATACTTTCTTGTTTGCTACTCAGCTGAAGCTCACTTCAAAATTTGAAATTTTCACCCGAAGAACTTGAGAATCTTAAGGCAACACAAGACACCTGTCAAGATGAACAACAGTTCAATAATTCAACTTGATAGTTGATGTCATATATTACCAAAGCTTGGCCTGATGTGGACTGGTGGCTGCTCTCTAGGTCTACTTGATATCACACAAAAGAGCCACGCCCCTCATGATCCACTTCTCCACATCGGCAGTGCCGTGTCTCAGAACGACCGTAGCAATGAACGTCAGGTCCGTTCTCCGCGGCTTCTTGTAGATCGGACACTCGTACATCTTGCTATCCTTCGCCATGACCTGGTTCTCCGCGAATATCCGGATAACAGGTAGTGGAGCGGACAGGACCTTGGGAGGCGACTCTATAAGCCGTGAGTTCCGCCTGTCCCAGCCCGCTCCGTCCAGGAAGAGACCGTGAACAAACACTCCCTCGGGGGGAGGGGCCGTGATATCGTCCTTTGTTGACTTGGTCATCTCGTTATTTAGGACCACTTGATCTAACGCCCACCCTTTGTGAGCTCGCGTAACTTCCTGTCTCATAGCAGTTAAGAAACCCTGAAATTGTGTGCAAACTTAGGGGATACAATAATCCAGATTCGAGATAAACTTATCCCAATCTAAAACAAGACGAATCAAAATTAGATTTGATTATAATAGATTGTTATAAACAAAATCAGTGAGGAAATTTTATGAATTACCTGAGGGTTGAAGAATCCAGTCATCCAGAAGACGTGAGGTCTTCCATTAAAGCACCAAGTGTGAAACTGGGAGTTTCTCTCTATCAGTTCAGTGAACCAGAAGCCAATAGTGCTGCTGTCCCAGGAGATCCGGGTCCAGAAGGGCGGCACTTTGGCGTCGTAGATATTATCGAGTGCTTCCCTCAACTTCTCGCTCATTATTATGGTTCCCTCGATCGCCAACTTGAGATCTGTCAGGGTGCTCCTAACACATGTTATCACTCGCTGCATCCTGTCTATCTCTTGCTTCAGGAAAATGTTCATCGAAGAAAGAGCCCCCATCTCGTTAATCCTATCTTTGACCTGATGAGCGATGTAGTCGTCAGGTAGCTTTGACAACATGTCGTCAGCCATTCTGGAGACGGCAGCTTCCCTCGTCTCCCCCAGTCCCCCACTGCTCTCTTTTGGCTGGATATTCAGGACAGTGTCCAGGATATCTCTAGCTGTTTTACTCTGGTAGGTGATGTTCGCGTTCGGATGCATCCCAAACACTTCTGGGGAGTCTACTGGAGGGAGCTTCTCAATGAAGTCCAGGTACTGCTGAACAGTTTTACATTGTGGGATGGTATAAGGCTTGCCAGCATCGCAGTTGTTCCCAACTGGTGTGAAAAACTGGAAACCCGGAAGAAACATCTCCTCCCTGAACCAGACTTTACAGAAGGTTTTGAGGAGCCTCTTGTCCATGTCATCAGTAACCCTGCCTCCGTACTGAACCTCCCCTATCATGTACTGCACCGTGCTCCAGTTCACACCGTGTCTAGGATCCATGTCATCTAGATGGTTCTGTAAAAACTGGATAGAAGCTGTCAGATCAGCCTGGTTAAACTCGTATGGGATATTCCAGCCGAGTGGTCCAAACTTCCTTCTCTCCTGAACGACTGTGTGGAGGATTGCTACAGTGTAGAGCATGGGCTTCCACTGGGGCATGTTGGTTATGTCAAGCTGATCTTGGGTCACTCCGTTGTACGTTCTCTTAACTCCAGCTTTAACCCCTTGAGGTGGTTCGTTGGTGTATTTCAGACCAATCTGAAGGAGATTTATAGGGAAGTGAGGGTGTCCTTCTGTTGTCATCCACAGTCTGAAGGTCTCGTGTACTGGACCTGCCGGCTCTGTGATCGTCTGAAGTAGTTCGTCCATGAAGTTGAGTCCCAGATGACAGTTTTGCAGCAGGACCCATCCTCCCTGACTCATCGAGTTGGTGAGGAGGCGTCTAGCGTGGATCTCCTGACCTTGTCCCATAGACACAGGTTTACAATCCACCTTCAGTTTCTTAGCTAAGGTGTCAATCTGAGCAGTAGGATCGGATCCCATGCTCAAGAAGCAGATTAGAGGAGTCATGTTATCGCTCTCTTCCCACATCATGTAGAAATCAAGGATAACTCCATCAGCAAACCTCTGACCTAGAGCGTCCACAACGAACCTCCTAGCCTGAGCTAAAGTCCTGTCGGGACACCAGGATCTAACCAGCAGTGTTCTCTTGAAGATATCAAGTGAGTTCTGGTAACCGTCAGGAATGTTGCCCTCTTCCGGAGCATCGCTGTCATACCACTGCCTCCATGCTTTCTCGTTTCGTCTGAGGATTGGTGGTTTTCGTATCAGAGTTAAAGGATCTCAGACTTTGTACTTTAATTAAAGTGAGATGAAACTGTAAAACTATGGCACTTGTAAAACTTAGTAACGGAATTAAAACAGCTAGGAAGTTTATTAAGTTAAGATATACTCACGAGACTTGGGTTAGGATTTCAGAGAATTGAGGAATCTTTGACAGCTCGACCAGGTTTAGCCAAGTCATATCGGATATCCAGTTGTTTTTTGGTTTTGGTGCCACGGCTTTTAAGTCTAGTGCTGCACCGCCTGTGAAAAAACAATATCGTACAATATATTCAATTTGGTCTGAGAGTGTGCATTCGATAGTATATCTCGCGGGAAGTCGTGTTAAAGTAGTTGATGTCGATTGTCGTGGTGTCAGTAAAATGGCAACAGATATCTATCGTCTCGGTATATATTATAGTAAGACAAGGGGTAAAAAGCAGGATTCGCTTACCTTTGATAAAGGTCATGAACTCGTTCGGTTTGATTCTGTTGGATTGAAGGCAGATCTTGAGGGTTAGGAGCAAAGTGTACAGGAACTTGTGCTCCTCATACAGCCCTCTTACTTGGTATTTCCACACTTCATAGGTCAGGTAGTCTATGATGTTAGATATCCGCTTACTCGTGATGGGAGATTTGTCCGACCTGAAGTAGTTAAGGATTTACCGCTTGCTCAAAAATAACTTTTATAAAACTGGAATTCTAGAAATACAAAGTAACTCGTTCGATGCTACCATGATTTCTGGGTTACTTGTTTATTTAGCGCTATAACAGCGAGAATCGAGATTCTGTCGCATTCACCAAATACCTTTAAACAACTGTCAAAATAATCATTTTGTCATTACAATAAATAGCGTCATTCCTATTCGCAGGTGAGGACTGAGGAGCAGTGTAATTTAAACGCTTAAATGACTCACTTCTCCATACTATCATCAAAGAGGGCCAGGAACTGTCTGATACTTGTCTGGTACATTGAGTTAACATAGCTCATCTCCACTATAAGGAAGTAGAGGATGCTACCTCGGGTTGCTACTGGTCTGAACTCTTCTCGGGCTGTGTTTATCTTCACTTCCGTCTCCGCCGCTGTTACTAGCTTGTGCTTTACCTAAAGAGATACATTGTTAGCATACCTTGAGTGGGGAGTAGGGTTAGCATACCTTACTCGAGGGTAGTGTGCAATCACCTGTTCTAAATATTTAAAATATGTCAAAACTGTAAGGAAAATACCTCTTCAGATGTAATCTTAGTGACACCGAGCACTTCAATAAGAGACTCGTCATCAACTAAAGGACCCTGGATGCTGGTTAGTTTGAACAGCAGGTTCTCTTCCAGCTCATCCATCTTGCGTTTATTAGCTGTCACATCCTGGCAGAGGAAGAGGGAGTTTTATTGATTGTCAGGCTATTTGTTGTACACTCCGTATGTTTTGTAAAGATGCTCTTTATTAAGACGAAGCCTCAAATGAAAAAAAATTAAAGATGGCAAGGCTTCACAATTGAAAAGATAAAGACGCCACAATAGATCGTATGTAATAAAGCATATTTCACACACTGACCTTACTTCTACCAAAAAATTTTGAGACGGTTTGCGATGAATTAAAGACGGTGAAGCCTTCAAAATGGTCAAAATTGAAGATGCCGAAGCCTTCGCCAAAATTAACCATCTTTATAAAATACGGAGTGTATCTTATTAGTCTAGCAAGTGATACTGTGGAAGTAAACCGGCCACAAGACTGGCTTAATTAAACACCCAAAATGCGTAACAGCTGACAGGGCTTATTGAAAATTTCATTAAACATATTACAATCTTGAAACCTCTATCAAGTTAGTCCTCTCTTTCTCCAACTCTCCCTTCTCCTTGAGAATAACAATACCCAACAGCTGGTCCTCCAGCCCCTTTATCGTTACTGTAAAGTCGATGATACTGGTTCTAGCGGATATTTCCGGAGTGTAGGATGGGTTAGCTAGTTTTGTAGTGATGTAGATCCGGAACCCTTTCATCACATCAAGTTCCTTGTCACCCACTTTAACCTACACAAAGAGGGGTTGTCATAATTTTGCTGTTTTTATCAATTTATCAAAGAAACCTCAAATCTGCTCTTAACTTTTTTTCTGACAAATGATTTAAAGATCCAAGGAAATAAAAGATATATGGATTCCTCTCTTTACGATCAAAATCATTCATATTTGAGACTTGTCCAATAAAACATCTATAATTTGGGATTACCTTTAATGATTTGCCGCTCTTAATGAAATTTTTCTCCAGAACATTGTCAAGAATTGGGTCCAATTCCTCACCTGTGAAAGAACAACAGTAGATTCAAATTGTCATTATACAGGTATAAATTGTATACATTATACATTGTATACATTATACATTGTCATTATGAAGTAAATCTCCGATTACCGGCCTCGATTTACCACAAACCCCGATTTATTCGCGGCCATCTCCTTTCCCCAAATAGGGCTTAACATGCATTATAATGTAAACAAACAAAACCCCGATTTACCGCGGGTGTTTCCTTTCCCCAAACTCCGCGGTAAATCGGGTCAATATCACACCACTTAGACAGTATACACCCCTTGTAGTCGGGAACAAAAACCAGATCATTTTAATTAACTTTAACAGTTGGCGATTGTGACGCAGGAAAGTTTTGGAATTGATTGTGTGCGGTAACGATAGTTTGCTACCTTAATAAAATGTTTTACTGTTAAAGCGTTGAACTAACCTATATCCTCGATCATGAGAGGACGCCCTTGCGACAAACAGTCCTCCAGATGCGTTCTAAAGAACTTGTGGTTGAGCGATGTCACCTGTTAGTTATAATATGGTGACTAATTACGTATTAACTATTACGTACACAGCTACAAAATATGTGACGTTTAAAGGTTCAACAGCAACAAGCTTTCGATTACGAGCATCATTCAACATATATTTCATTTAAGGGTTGCTTTAATAGTTAAGGTAACTAAATGAGCTGAATGCAGAACAATTTAACAAAAACGGTGGTCTGACTAAATAAATCTCCAGTATTCGTATAAAAACAGTATAAGCAGTAAGTAACAACGATGCAGGTGAGTTTTCATTCTATGAAATCAATGACTTGAATGTTATCCCAGTGATAGGAAATCCATACATTATAATCTGAGTTTTAGATAACAATATTGAGATTACAGCGTTGTTTTCATTCTCTATCAGCTGATATAATGCTGATAATAAATCACTGATATGGCATGCGGAAAGTATTATCTGATATTCAAACGAGATTAGCAGCCAATTAGCGGCCAATTAGCAGCCAACAGTGAATCACTAAAGCAAGCAAGTTTTCATTCATCATCTCTTCAAAATCGATCAGCTAATTTTCCACAGATATGAATCAATCACTGATTTTTCGATGAACGAATTCATGAATCTCAAATCATATTGTGACTTCACGACTCGATAAAGATTTTTAGTCTTTAGCATTTCGTTAAAGCAATGGAAGAGTGTTCATTCAAGCTTATCAAAGACCGGCGAATGACTTACGGAGAAATCTTTTGCCTCCTTTCCCTCGCTCTAAAATGGTTAATTCAACTCGTTTGGTACAAAATTGAAAATAATGAACAAATATGTTGTTTATCATTACAATTCAAATATAAGCGATAAAGGAGAACACGGAAGAGGTTGCAGGAGACTCGAATTTAGAGTAATGTTTACAGATACTTTTACCATGAAACTATTTGAAGTTTGAACCACTCAGTGGAATTTACCACATCATTGGTGTGGCCGATGTGAGTGATGACAATGTTATTTTATTATTAAATGAACCGTTTCATCTCGATACCTTTACATTCATTATAATATACACTGTTACTTTATCGGAATGATATTGCGATCCTCGAACTGAAACTAGATATAAACTATAAAGGGAGGAAGTTAATAATTACTTAATTAGTTAATAATTACCGTAAGTATGGTATTTTCTCTGTTCTTGATCCAGATCTTTCCTTGTCCCTGAAAGTTTAGATTTTAGCTATAACTCCTAAACTTAAGCCGTGTTACCTTGGTTACGTACCTTGTTACCTTGGTTACGTACCGTTTAACTCTGTCTGTAAAAGTTCCGTACATCTTAATATTGTCAACAATCTCTCAGTTCAACTCCCAAATGTTTATCGAGTAAAATTTTGTGTCACGCATTTGATTTTCTGTGATGCGACAGGCTGGCCGAGATCAAATCCCGAGACAACTTTCAGACACTTCATATTAAAACGATAAATGGTAAGGCCAACGTTCTCCCAGTATCTTATATAGTGACACATTATAGTTGTTTAAACTGACAGAGCATATATTTGAGGAAGTAACACTATTTGAGTTGACAGTTTAGAGCTAACTCGGTTCGATTAATAATTATAACCATTGCTTTGACCACCAGTGCTTTGCCTTCGTCATCTGGTTATACAAATAAGTGCCTTATATGGGGATAATTTCGAATATTGATGGTGAACTATTTGGTAGTGAACTATTTATAGAAAGTGAGATAATTCCAAACTCATGCGTACCTGGGGATCAATAATGAGGGGATATCTGGTGGCCTTGGTGCAGATGATACCGTTCTGGATACTCAGCTCATCACTAGGCAACCCTTGTAGATTCCACTCCGATATCTGCAAATACATTTATTAGAGTATGTTGAAAATAAAACTAAACAGCAGTTCAATTGAGACACCATTGCTACAAGATTACCAACTTAATACATAGCTGTGTCCACAATTATAGAACACGTACTTAAGTACACGTCTTAATCTAGTCAATAAAAGTACTCTGACTCACAGTGGTTTTCTCAGCCAACATGCTGATGAGGTCCAAGTTGTGAGTGTATGGGATACTCCTGCTTTTATTCTCTCCCTGCCAGTTGCGCAGTAACAACTGTCTGTACTCCTGGTTAAAGGGTCCGCAGTAGGACAGAAAACCAGTCGCCATCAACACGTCTCCTGCCAACCTAGTGAGTGGAGGAGTATTAGTTGGCATGACAACCTAGTGAGTGGAGGAGTATTAGTTGGCATGACAACCTAGTGAGTGGAGGAGTAATAGTTGGCATGACAACCTAGTGAGTGGAGGAGTATTGGTTGGCATGACAACCTAGTGAGTGGAGGAGTATTAGTTGGCATGACAACCTAGTGAGTGGAGGAGTATTAGTTGGCATGACAACCTAGTGAGTGGAGGAGTATTAGTTGGCATGACAACCTAGTGAGTGGAGGAGTATTAGTTGAATGACAACCTAGTGAGTGGAGGAGTATTAGTTGGCATGACAACCTAGTGAGTGGAGGAGTATTAGTTGGCATGACAACCTAGTGAGTGGAGGAGTATTAGTTGGCATGACAACCTAGTGAGTGGAGGAGTATTAGTTGGCATGACAACCTAGTGAGTGGAGGAGTATTAGTTGGCATGACAACCTAGTGAGTGGAGGAGTATTAGTTGGCATGACAACCTAGTGAGTGGAGGAGTATTAGTTGGCATGACAACCTAGTGAGTGGAGGAGTATTAGTTGGCATGACAACCTAGTGAGTGGAGGAGTATTAGTTGGCATGACAACCTAGTGAGTGGAGGAGTATTAGTTGGCTTGACAACCTAGTGAGTGGAGGAGTATTAGTTGGCATGACAACCTAGTGAGTGGAGGAGTATTAGTTGGCAAATGGCATGGCAACCTAGTGAGTGGAGGAGTATTAGTTGGCATGACAACCTAGTGTTGAGTGTTCAGAGGAACAACTCATTTAAAATGAAGGAAGTATTTAATGTATTGGGGGCCCTGTATTGAGGAAGTTACACTATTTAGAGTTGAACTTAACATTAACAGTCGCAAATTCAGTCAGCTTAAAAACCGCAAACTCATCGAACTCCATATATTTAAATTTATCAGTCAATGGCAGTGATATGACCTGTTTCTAAATTTATTTTGTAGTATAATAATAGAAATTAGAATATCAAATAAGAAACCGCCATTAAGATTGTTCTACCGCACATATCTGCCGACAAAAGTGCTTAAGTTTCTGATAAATTTTGGCATTTTAGGTGGTTCAAAAAGGAGGTTTCTGGTAGCCGGCACGCGGTCGATTCTAATGGTTTCTGATGTTTTCATGGACAATTCTTGACGCAACAAAATAAATTTGGTCCTTAAGCATATTTGTCAGAAAACATCAGATATTACCATGCCAACTTAGCAACTCCACTTTGATATCACGAATATGCTTTTTAAAATAGAAATAGAGCAAAACTTATACTGAAAATAGATCGAACTTGACAAAATGTCCATTCGCTTCAGATGATTGATTGAACTGGTCGAAATTTGATGAAATCGCGAATGTACTGAGAATCGTGATATAATTAAATATCAAATGACATCAGCACTTAAACATAAATCGATCAGTTCAGATACATAATCTTGTTGGGCGTTGAGCTTTGGGGCTTTTATCAATCATACTTAAATTCAGGCGAGATTCATCTGTAGAAAACTCTCATTTTGATTTGTCAATTCTGATATGGACGGCTGTCGCTTTCTATATTTTACTCAATGCATCTCTAGCAATACAATATCACGCTACGAATAAGCTTTTAGTAAATTGAAATGGATCATAAACGTGTACTGGAATTGGTCGATCTTGGCAATTTGCCAATTTGGTAGTCATATTGGTACTTGAATTAGACCCAAATCTGATGAGATGGAGATCATATAGAGATTCGTGTCTATCAAATGAACTTTTTAGCCCGAAATTTTAACAGACTTTTAATATAAATACATATTACATATCATCATCTTTGAGCTTGTGCTCCTTTTAATCATACTTGAATTCGGACGTGATTAATATGAATTGGAGTTGTCGAGTTAACATGGCAATACATGCCTATATGCGCGGTGGAACAATCGTGATGGCAGTTTCTGATTTGATATTTCAAACGAATATTAAAAATCTTGCTCAGTTAGTTCATATCGTTTGACAGTTAAACAGTTTATTTTAAGTAATTTTTCAGAGGATTTGATGAATATTTAAATCCAATTTAGGGATATTGGTCATTTTTCGTTTATTCTAACTATCAGCGTTTAAAATTAAATCTCGGAAGTATTTATTAAATTTCGACGATAAGTTTAAAGTTAGGAAGTGGTTATTCATCATATCAAGCCAATCTGCCAAACTCATATTAAAAAATATTAATAAAATAGCGTATAATTGAGACATACCAGCCCACCGCGATGAAAACCCAATATTTTAAATTTTTTGTAATTTTTACAAAGATACCACCCCTCATATTATCTATCAATGAAATTATTAGCAACTCACCTCTCTATCTGAGCCTTGAACTCCTTACTCTGCTCAGTCCACCTGATCTTCTCTCCCCTCAGTCCATCTATCAGAGTTTTAGCTGCTACCATCCTCCTCTTGCAAGTATCAGCATCGTTCTCAAGATCCTTCTTTTCCCTCATAGCGTCATCGTACAGTTTCCTTACCTGAACATGAGGTTATTGGTGAGGTTAGTGATGAGTTTAGTGGTGAGGTTAATGGTGAGGTTAGTGGTGAGGTTAGTGGTGAGGTTAGTGGTGAGGTTAGTGGTGACTGGTGATGTTAGTGGTGAGGTTAGTGGTAGGGTTAGTGGTGAGGTTAGTGGTGAGGTTAGTGGTGAGGTTAGTGGTGAGGTTAGTGGTGAAGTTAGTGGTGGGGTTAGTGGTGAGGTTAGTGGTGAGGTTAGTGGTGAGGTTAGTGGTGGGGTTAGTGGTGAGGTTAGTGGTAGGGTTAGTGGTGAGGTTAGTGGTGAGGTTAGTGGTGAGGTTAGTGGTAGGGTTAGTGGTGAGGTTAGTGGTGAGGTTAGTGGTGAGGTTAGTGGTGAGGTTAGTGGTGAGGTTAGTGGTGAGGTTAGTGGTGAGGTTAGTGGTGAGGTTAGTGGTGAGGTTAGTGGTGAGGTTAGTGGTGGGGTTAGTGGTGAGGTTAGTGGTGAGGTTAGTGGTGAGGTTAGTGGTGAGGTTAGTGGCGAGGTTAGTGTAAAGTGGAGCTACAGTTCATACGCTCCCGCCTCCCCTATACCCTCTTTCGACTTTAGGTGAGTATTTTAATTCATATTAACTACTATTTTTTAATTTTGCGATTGGGGAGGCGGATTATCGTTGTGAAGTACTGTACTACTCACGAAGTACTGTACACGATGTTTTCAACCCACGAGTCAGAGAGCAAGCTCAACTGACGGCTCCCAAGGATGGCGTATGCACATGTGTCTGATCAAGAATGCGGTTGGGCTGTGATTGTATCGACCATGAGTACCAAGCAAGCAGATATTTGAATTGACTAGATTTCCACTGGTAAGCGATTCGGAAAATCATGGGCCGGCATAGTTTAACCAACTACATATTAACTACTATTAACTACTAAGTATCTTCATACTGATTTGTACAGTTTCTCCAGACTCATTTACAGTGACAGCTGTTTGAATAGTAAACTCGGTTGGCAGATAAGTCAGTTGGTCAGTAAAGTACTTTTTCAAAGAACAGCTGAGATTATTGAGACATCTTACCTGGGGACCCCAGGCTATAATGTTCATGAACATAAAGATTCTGCGGAATGACAGGCTGAGCGCCGCCCAATAATGTAACATCAAGCTAATAATAGTGAACAACTATCTAAGACGATTTTTTGGACAAAATCTTATCGTGGGATTTGGCTATTGATAACCTCTGCGACTAGAGAAACCACCCTATTATATTTCAGTCTTTCAAACTGCTGTCAAAATATTCAAGACGCTTGAACTTGGCTGCTTGTAAAGAATGTTGTCCGAATGCAGTTCATACTGATATTAATTCCAGTAGCGAATGCGATTTCGAAATATGACCATATTCAATTTTGTTTGTATCTTATATATTATATAATTAAATTCCGTAGCTCGCTGACGTCGAGTTTCCCCATAATTCCCCAGAATGTGGCACACCATGGAACCTAATGGTAACCTTAATGAATCTAATGGTAACAACGCACGCTGAGGATTGAGAAATCCTCCATTCAATTTGGTGTCGCGACTCTGGTGGCGAGGATAAGTTGATATATTGATATTGCACTTAAATAAGCCAATCCTTCAGAAGATTTGACAACTGACATATTCTCTAATGTCGCTAACTACTTCCCCGGAAGTCGTCTCCCGAAAGCGTATCGAGCTCAGACGTCTCAAGAGTTATTCTATAAATTAATCTCTATAAAAGTCCTTTTCTTATAACAATTAATCTCTATAAAAGTGGCCGTCCTTTTCTTACAACAATAGTCAGTGTAATAACCTTGTCCAGTTCAGCGTTCTTAGCGTCCAGTTGTCCCTGAGCCTGGAGCTTACTCTCGTTGGCGTCCTCCAACCTCCGCTCTTGAACTGCCAGGTTAGCTTTAAGTGGTAACACTTCCTTGTTGATGGAGTAGTATGCGGACATTGCTTTGGTCCATGAACAGAGTCCCGCCACGTTACCGCACACCTAGGAGAGGCAAATTTGTGGTTATATTTATCAACATAATATGTATGATCTTGATTAATATTTAATATTGATTTGAAATTTGATTAAGCTAGTCGCGACAAATAATCATCAGAGTGAAATCGACAGAGTTTAACCCGAATCGTTATGGGGGACAACATTTCGTGGAGACGGGTGTTAATCAGCGAAATTGTCGCAAACTTTTAAGTTTAAAAACTCTTTAACGATTGACAAACTTAATTAAAAACGCAAAATGTTCGCTGATCAAACCTTTTTGGCAACTTCAAGCGAATAGTCTGGCATCTCAAAGTAGGGCTGCAGCAACTCCACCACCTCGTCGTTTATGGTGTCCTTGTTAAAGTTCTGTAGAGACTGCAGGAAAGTGCTGCCACTCAACATCTTGAGAGAGTGGCTCCAGCTCGGCTTGACACACGGTCTGTCCGGGTCCATCTCCACCTGTTCCACTTGGCGGCCCAACAACAACAGCACACAGTCTGATATCCTCATAATGAGATGAGGTGGTTTGGGTAACTTCCTCACTGTCGCTATATCTGCTGGTTTTATAGTTAGCAGGGCCGCTTCAGCTTCTTTAAGAGCAGGTTTTGCTTTCTCCAGTTTTTCCAACGCAATCTTCTTGTCAATTGAGATGCTGTCGAATATAGACTGAGCTTTGTCCTTCTTTTTTTGCACCTCCTGTTTGGCAACTTCTGCTGCCTCAGCTTGAATAGTCACATCGGCCAGCACTTTCTCCGCTTTAACAGAGGACACTGCGAGCTCCTTTTCCTTCTCGACAAGCTCTACCGAGAGTTCCGCTACTGACTCACTTGCTTCGTTCAGCTTGTCCAAACCTGATAACAGGGGCAGTTGTTAATACCAATACTAAACCTGATAACAGGGGCAGTTGTTAATACCACTACTAAACCTGATAACAGGGGCAGTTGTTAATACCACTACTAAACCTGATAACAGGGGCAGTTGTTAATACCACTACTAAACCTGATAACAGGGGCAGTTGTTAATACCACTACTAAACCTGATAACAGGGGCAGTTGTTAATACCACTACTAAACCTGATAACAGGGGCAGTTGTTAATACCACTACTAAACCTGATAACAGGGGCAGTTGTTAATACCACTACTAAACCTGATAACAGGGGCAGTTGTTAATACCACTACTAAACCTGATAACAGGGGCAGTTGTTAATACCACTACTAAACCTGATAACAGGGGCAGTTGTTAATACCACTACTAAACCTGATAACAGGGGTAGTTGTTAATACCACTACTAAATAACAGGGGCAGTTGTTAATACCACTACTAAATAACAGAGGCAACATTGAGATGGCGGACAAGTGTAACAAGTGTAACAAGTGTAACAAGTGTAACAAGTGTAACAAGTGTAACAAGTGTAACAAGTGTAACAAGTGTAACAAGTGTAACAAGTGTAATAAGTGTAACGAATTGTTGATGATGTTGCGAATTTTCATGAAATATCCGTTAATTTTGCCGGATATTTCATGATCGCGATTTGTTCTAATGATTTAAGATTTCGTCAAGGTACTGACATTAAATGGACCGACGACAGTCGACAGTGCAGACTATTGTCGTACAAACAATAGCGATATACTATGCACAGAGAATATTTCAGCGATCGATCGAAAAAATGAAATCCTATTATCATAATTTCTTGGATTTTCTCGAAATATGTACGTTTCTAAAATTAGGCACGTTATCCTTTGAGAGAGTTTATTGCAGCGTAAAGAAAGAGCATAGCATCAAATGAGATCTTATTCTTTCTTTGCAGTTTTGTTATTGCATCTGAAGAGTAGTGATTTTTTACATTTCTGATGTACATATTTTCGATCAGTATTTGCCTTGATTTTAAAGAAAAGGAACGAGCCTTACAAACTTAACTAACATAACGTCACTAGTCAGGACTTCATAAGTTCTAGATAAAGTATACAAATTTCCATCGCGATAACTTTGCACCCATTCAAGTATTCAAAAGTAGGCCTTCCCTCACTCTCAGCAAAAAGTAGCCCTTCCCACTTTCCCAGTCAAAAGTAGCCCTTCCCACTTTCCCAGTCAAAAGTAGTCCTTCCCACTTTCCCTGTCAAAAGTAGCCCTTTCCACTTTCCCAGTCAAAAGTAGTCCTTCCCACTTTCCCAGTCAAAAGTAGCCCTTCCCACTTTCCCAGTCAAAAATTACGTATGATTCAAATTTTGGGATTCTTAAATCCTCAAAATACCTCACCTACGATTCAAATTTTGAGATTCTGGGACACCTTTCTCGGTATAATAACCTCTTTGCTCATGATTGCTCAAGAAACTGCAAATATCCTTTCCGATTGTTATATTGTCAGACAGTTAGTATCGCGAACATGAATGTGTGGCTCGGAGTACTAGCTCTATTTTTCACCATAAGTAAGTCAAATTATCATATTTTCTTTAAATTGTACCCAGTTATTATTACAAGTGTCACATAATTAACAGCACTTTTTGGGGATAGTCACTATAATTAATTTCAAACTTTCCACTTTAGTAACTTTAGTAACTCCCCCAACTCCCAGATAGTCACTACAATTAATTTCAAACTTTCCACTTTAGTAACTTTAGTAACTTTAGTAACTCCCCCAACTCCCAGGTGGATGGTGCACAGAGGAGTACCCCTACGTTTAGTAACTCCCCCAACTCAGGTGGATGGTGCACAGAGGAGTACCCCTACGTTTAGTAACTCCCCCAACTCTCAGGTGGATGGTGCACAGAGGAGTACCCCTACGTTTAGTAACTCCCCCAACTCAGGTGGATGGTGCACAGAGGAGTACCCCTACGTTTAGTAACTCCCCCAACTCAGGTGGATGGTGCACAGAGGAGTACCCCTACGTTTAGTAACTCCCCCAACTCCCAGGTGGATGGTGCACAGAGGAGTACCCCTACGTTTAGTAACTCCCCCAACTCCCAGGTGGATGGTGCACAGAGGAGTACCCCTACGTTTAGTAACTCCCCCAACTCCCAGGTGGATGGTGCACAGAGGAGTACCCCTACGTTTAGTAACTCCCCCAACTCAGGTGGATGGTGCACAGAGGAGTACCCCTACGTTTAGTAACTCCCCCAACTCTCAGGTGGATGGTGCAGAGAGGAGTACCCCTACGTTTAGTAACTTTAGTAACTCCCCCAACTCCCAGGTGGATGGTGCACAGAGGAGTACCCCTACGTTTAGTAACTCCCCCAACTCTCAGGTGGATGGTGCACAGAGGAGTACCCCTACGTTTAGTAACTCCCCCAACTCTCAGGTGGATGGTGCACAGAGGAGTACCCCTACGTTTACGAGTACGGTACCAAGTGCTGCAAGACCGACCATGAGGCTAAGTACCCGAGCACAGTGAACAGTGTCCCATGGATATCCTCCAACGTACCTACTTCTAGTTGGAAGTGTGACGGAGGACCGCTGCTCTCCTTCAGCACCTGCTGTGAGAACAATCAGAGCACCAACTGTCCCTGGGAGGAGTGGGATCATGCCTGTTTAGACCACCTGTCAGTGGTTCAACACTGCCTGCTTAAAGACTGGGATCTAAGAGGGAGTGACATCCACAAAACCCTCCAGCCAACTGTGGAGGACTGTGTGTACGAGTGTCAGAGTTTTGAGATGTGCACTCATCTCACCTACCTGGAGTCAGATAACAACTGCTATCTGAAGAGCGGGGATAGTGTGGAGGGTAAACTCAAGGGCGCTGTTTCTTTGCGTATGTCATGTATGATGGGTGACGAGGCTACCGTATGGGCTACCTCTACTATAGCCGAGATCACATTTACAGTCGATACAGTCGCTACGGATACCAGAACGCCCAGCGGTACGATACAACAAAATCTAGACTGTGAAGATTGCACAAAGCTTTCGTCAGCTATCACTTATGGCGGTGCTACAGGGCTGTTCTTTCTGGTATTCATTTATATAGGCAGATAAGGTCCACTACAATCACGATTTGGGCCTTGATGTAATAATGCAGTTCATACCATATTGTGGACTAATTGTTTGCTTTTTGCATTTATTAGATAATGTGAGAAGACTTGGACATAATGTTTCGAGCTCTTTTTTTATATCATGGACAATGACAAGCTACTAATTTTGAGATATCACTGAAATTTGCCTCTGTAGGTCCTATGAGGTTCCAGTTTTTCCCAAACTCTTTTTAAAGTATAAATTTGAGATGGAGGAAATCAACATTTCGATGCTTTTTATTATGTTGCAAAGCTGTTATTTTGCTATTTTCAATTTTTGAAAAAAGTTTCCTCACCAGTGTTCATGCGTTGCGCCATATCGTTTTTCTGCTTGCACTTCTCCATGTAAATCTCTTTGTAGTTGGCGATGAAAGAGAGATAACTCTTAGGGGTCACGTGGGTAGACCTCCGGAACCTATCAAAGTACTTGACACAAGCTTCAGCCACCCCGTCGTGAATATACCTGTAAATTGAGGGAAAGTTATACACGTATTGTCCGACACTATTGTCCGACACGCACTATTGTCCGACACACACTATTGTCCGACACTATTGTCCGACACACACTATTGTCCGACACTATTGTCCAACACACACTATTGTCCGACACTATTGTCCGACACACACTATTGTCCGACAAACCTTAGTGCGTGTCGAACTACAGTGTCGAACTACATTGTCGAACTACATTGTCGAACTACATTGTCGAACTACAGTACGTGAATCGGGTAACCTAAGCATAGTTATAACATTCATCTGGGTTCTGGGTGTGTGATGTGTTGAATGAGTCACAAGTTCTCTCTTAAATAACTTTCTGGCTCTAATGTCAGTTTTAGACCAAGACTATGTACGTGCTGAACATTAAGAGATTCTCTTTTATTTGTGAAGGTTGACGCAATGTTTTTAAGTGCAATCTGGCTGTAATGTTGTCACCAGTGTGACATGGTAACTAAACTCACCCCATACTGTATACGATCTGTTCCTTGACCTCATCAACGCATCTCATCTCAAAAGAGGACAAGAAATGCTTTGCCACAGCTATGAGGGCGTCTTTGGGCCACCTGGCAAACCAGTCCATAGTACAGCCTGATATAAGTCCTGGGAACTTGAGGGCTCTGTTTCGGAACTTCTCCCCCACCTGGGTATAAAACGGGTTAGCTATACGAGGATGAAGACAAATTTGCAACTATTTACACTTTTATTGAAGAAATTCAAGGTTGATGGAAAATAAAGTAACCGCCTTTACAAAAACCGACTTAGTAAAACACGGTCTAACCGGTGAGAAACAGAGCACGATGTGAAGGTTATTCCTGGCTCTAGAGAGGAAATACTCATAAAGGTTCTCCGGAGTCGGTGGGTGTCTGGGTAGCTCCTTCTTCATCACAGGTATTAGCTCCTGCTGAATCTCGTCCATTTCGTCACGTGCAAACAGGTTAGAAACCTGTAGAATTGGGGTTATGTAGGTTCTAGTTGAACAACTTTCTGAAGATCATGTTTCTGCCTAGGAATAGAACGTTTCTGCCCACTGTGTTTTTGCCAACAACATTTTCAACAGTTGCTAAAGAGCCATTGATTGACAAACCTCGCCAGATGAGAGAATGTTATTGAGATACTCCAGGAAGGCTTCATCTTTAATATCATTATCAGTAAATATAAAGCTCATAGGTATCCCCTGTTGTCCAGTAGCCCTGTACAAGATCTTCAGATCATCCATCAGATTACTGCTGTTGTAGGACCTGGTCAGTGTTATCTGGAATGTTTTGTAGCCCGCGATAAAGGAGGCAAGTTTGGTAAGGGACTGTTTACCTGACCCTCCAACTCCAACTAGCAAGGCATTGCCCCGGGGAGTCTGTAGGATTCTAGATACCTGTTAGAGATTGGCTGTGTAAACTAAATGCTGCCAATTGCAACCAGAGAGTGAGGAAACTTTTTAAATAAGAAACTTGATGGAAAGTAGTGTATTAAAAACATTATGTCACTTATACACTCGAAAAGCAACTTATCCTGTCTAACCTTTACGAGATGAGTCATGGCATCCTTGAAGAAGACTAGATCTATAGGAGCACCTCTAATAGACTCGTTATACTGTTCCATGAAGTTGATCAGCCTAGCTTCCAGCTGCACGAAGTCAGCGATAGGCTCGTAAATAGAGGGAGCGTCAAAGTCATGGTCATCAGGTTCCTCCCCTGTAACATCGGGAGCGTCCCGGAGGAAGCTGACAAACCAGTCATCCTCCCGCACGTAACCAGCACACTCCTCTCCCAGCTCCTCCTCAGCTATATTCAGCATGGTCTTCTGGAACCAGACTAGGTCCTCAGGGTTAGTGAATCTGTCCGCTATTACCCTGGTGCTCTCGTGTCTCCACAGCTTTAGGATAATAGCCGGCTCGCACGCTACCTCCGGGATACACTTCAACATTCCCTCCCAAATCCTGCTAAGATCTCTCAGGTTAAAGATGTAGTGGAACTTGGCAGGGGTCGGTAACATCTTGATTTTAACAGCTTGCCAAAGTTTCCTGGTCAGAGGAACCACCTGCTCAACAAACTGCATGACACCCTCCGTGAAGCCTCTCTCCTTGCAGTAGTAACCACAGCCAATAGTCTTGAAGATCTTGTCCATGCTGGCGTTGGAAGGCAGGCAGCAGTTGAAGATACTGAAGTGTCTCTTTAACCTGAAGTGAGTGGAAACTAAATACCTGGAATGTTCTAGAAGGTCCTTATCTGGTATCTAGACTTGATTACCAAAAATACTGAGAGACGTGCGGTATGACTTGTACAGATTAAGATATTAGCTTTACCTTTGAGGGATGTCATTTCTACCACCTCCCGGTTGAATCATGGCTGCCATAAAGAACATATCTGTAATCGTTGTAAAATCTCCGATTTTCTCTAAACTGTAAAACCCTGAAATGAACCAGTACAGTTTAATTATTCGAGCAAAACTAGATGGTCTATAGGTCAGTAAGCCGTAAGGATAAACAAGAGACAATTCCGTCGTATCAAAAAGGTGATTAATCAGCAGATCACGTCAGTAGGATAGCTGACAGTAGGATAGCTGTACTCTGCTGATTAGTATTAGGAGTATTGCCATTAATATCAACAAATTGTTCTGTTTTATCACCACAGGCTCTTTAATGCTCACCGCCCATCGCAACGCCAACAAATAGTTGCTATGAATGGTTGCCATCGCAACAAATAGTTTCTAACCGTTCATTTCCATGAGCTGTCTGACGATCTCGTTGGTGATCTGATCTAACCACTCGTTGATAACAGGCATATTGATGTCATCAATAAAGACAGTCATCTTCTTGCCGGCTGGTGGACCATACGTGTTCCCCATGCGCTTGTCAACGAACGCTTCCACTGTTCTCTGGGGAGCGAAATAGATTGTTAACAGTGTTAACAGTGTTAACTCTGGGGAACGGTATACAGTGTTAACTCTGGGGAGCGGTATACAGTGTTAACAGTGTTAACAGTGTTAACTCTGGGGAACGGTATACAGTGTTAACTCTGGGGAGCGGTATACAGTGTTAACTCTGGGGAGCGGTACACAGTGTTAACTCTGGGGAGCGGTATACAGTGTTAACTCTGGGGAGCGGTACACAGTGTTAACTCTGGGGAGCGGTATACAGTGTTAACTCTGGGGAGCGGTACACAGTGTTAACGATGTAGAGGTTTCTTTTTAAAGTGGCTTCTGAGATTTGGGAGGAGGTTTAGAGTTAAAAAGGCATACAAAGTGGGGAAGGTTGTTCTGGAAGGTTGTTCTTTTCAGTAGCCTCAAGGCCAATACTAAAGCATGGGTGTGATGGTTTGCGGAGGGTTTGCGGAGGGTTTGGGCACGTTATAATGCTCACATGGAGCCCGTGCGGTTAAACTACCAACATTTTAATTTGTAATTTGTTTATGTAAACTGTTCCTGCAGGTCACAACAGTGATTTAGCCTCTAAAACATGACTTCTAGTTTCAACTATTTTCACGTAAAATTGATGGTAATTTTTGAAATTATTCCACCACTACCATTACCACCTGGGTACATGGGAGCAGAACACCAAAATCTATTAAAATATAACCACGCATTTTAAGCTCAAGTCATTACTTCAAACAAATTCGCCTCAGCATTACAGGTCGATGGTAGTTCATTAGATTTAGCGAATACCGAATTCTGCTTGAGCTATTTATAACACTCTGTTGATAAAGAGAAAAGTATTAGAAATACCTGGAAAAGATAAGGAGTAGTGGCGGATGAGAAGTTAAAGGATTTAAAGAGTTTTAACTCAGGGGCTTCCTTGACAACGTTGCTCCCGAACGACTTGAGAATAACAGTTTTAGCGGTCCCCTGCTCGCCAATTAACATCACAGCTTTGTTCTGCTTGTGTATGGTCTCCACTAAGAAGTTCATCCTCACGTTATCCACATTTGGAACCAGGATAGAAGAGTACTCCGGACAGTGGTCCGTGGGGTACTGGTAATTCTCCACCCTCTCCAACCAGTGCTGCCAGTTACCTGCGCGATATTAGTATTAGATAGCAACGAGTTACCTGCACCGTGTTAGATTTAGTGTTACGGTACATAGCGATATCAATGTTACCGAGCGACCAGTTTTCTGATCGAGATAAGTGTCAGTTGTCAACCAGTTTGACCAATAGTTGTTGGTGAGAAAATGTTTAAACCGTTATGAAGCAAGCATTTAACATATCAACCCTCGCTAGTCAGTAGGCCTAGGGAAAAACTTCAGGGCCAATATGCAATTTTCAGAGATCAAATATGAATACTAGGTAATGAGAATTGGTCGAGTATACGATTGACGTAGCCCGATTTGTTTCAGAAAATTCCCAGTTCATTAAATTTATATATATTAAATTCCTTCGGCTTCCTGTAATTGGCTGGTTGCACTTGTGTAACATTGTGGCTGTTGGAATACACCGAAGTAAAATAAGTGTCTAGATAAAAAATACGAGCTACAGGAAGACAAGATTATATGGACTGTCAAATTTTTGGGTGCATTAGAATTATAACGCCCGGACCATGAAATCAAGAATCAGGGAATGGTTAAATTTAAGCAATCTTTGCTTCAGACAAAATGTTTCAATATCGTGACGTTTGATAAAGAGTCACGGAGCATAAAGGGATCGGGCAAGATAATCAACATCTTCAAAGGATCATTAAACTTCACTGCATTTTGTTTTGTCAGTTGCGCTTGACACTTCATAACTTCAGTTGACAGCCAAAATGAGAATACGATTATTTTCGAGACTTAATGACGCATAAAAGTTCAAAGAAACTGTGCCACAATTTTTGCACCCTCAGTAATAACCAACCTTTGTCGTCAACGAGAAACTCGAATATAGTAGTTCCGGGTGGATGTTTGTTGAAAGGAGGCATGTCAACAGAGCACCTGTCCACCATGAACTCCTGCATCTTCTCCCTGTCCTCCAGCTCTAGCAGAGCCCCCAGAGACCACATGATGGCGAACACGTAGAGACGACCTAAGTGCTCCGGAGAAAGGACTGCTATCTCCTCCCGACCCGAGTTCAGGTCTATCTTTACAGGGATCAGTCCTTCTAACAGATCACAAGCCTGGAAAAGGTCAGTGTTATATTGATCCTCTTTACACGACTGCAATCATTAGGAAAGTTTCTTATTTTTACTTTGCTATATTCCTGTGTAAAAATATACTATCAAATCTTGTAACCGTGTATTAAACAGGTTGATAGCGAATAGATACCTGTCGTATGTAGTTGCACTCCAGTGTTTCCATCCTGGGGTTCAGACTCTGCCACACATAGGTATAAACAGCAGTGAAGCTGCCCTCGAACAGCTCCATCAGGACCTTCCTCTCAGTGGGGGGTCGGTGGTTCAGCCAGCCCTCTAAGATAGGGTGCCAGTCCAGCGCACTGCTACTCATGTACACCATACCGTTACGGGATACTGTGGCGGGGGAGGCGTTGTCAATGTTGTGGGGCTCAAACACGATCTTACAGTTGGGGGACATGGGGATGCGGTCTCCGTTTGCTAGAGTTAGGGTCTTGTTGTCGTCCAGCACTGAGTTCAAGTTCTCGATCCAGATAGCGTCCACTGGTCCGTCTAGGACAAGCCACACATTTTCTCCTGCATTAATTATTGAGTGAGGATATAGGGTTTGTCAGTGAGCGAACCCATGTTAAAGGCCCTTGGAAGATAATGTATTTGCATGTGAGAGGTCGTTTTCTGAAAGAAAGCACGAAAAATAACCTTTCTTGGTTTTGAGAGTTTTTCTCCATAGTGTAGAGAATATTCCGTCCGTCCAATCGTTGGTAGCAACGTCAAGCCTACCAAACATCTGCAACAATATTTTACTTTTAGGGACTATAGCTACAGGTTTCATTATAGTATGAGTAAAATAACCGGTATCAAAGCAATTAACAGCCTACAGAAAACCCGCTTTAAAAAGTTTCTTTTCTCAATCTATTACCAACTACCACCGTGAACAGATAAATCAGAGATTCTAACAATGTAACATTAGCCCTCTTAACAGTACCTGTGGTGAAGAGATAGCTTTAGGGTTCATCCTCATCTCTTTAGTGAAGCTACCACACGTGCTCATAGCTTTCATCAGCACGTGTATACACACAGTCTTACCGGCCCCACTGGGGCCCAAAGCCATCATCCCGTGTCTCACTCGCTGAGTCTCAAATAGCTGGATTAGTTTCAGTACCCAGGGTAGATGGTAGATCAGCTTCTCCTCTTCACATTGGTCCTTGATTGCTTTCTCAAGAGCTGGATACCCTGGCGAAGTTACCAGTAAGTCCTGGTTACCCTGGTTACGGGTTACACCCTATCTGAGATACCTAGAGTTGAAGTTTTTACCACCAGTTTTCTCAATTTTCCAAGCCTAGCACAATATTAACAAACCAGCAGTGTCGAGTGTGATCGCAGGGAAGAGATCAGATATGAGAGATAAGAAGAGAGGCTCGTCTTCATCAACCAACTTGGAGAGGTTCATGTCCCGCAGCACTCGCATAACTGGATTGGGAAGAACAAAATCAGTGTTTAGAAACATTAAGTTTATCAGTTGTGATACCAGATCAATGGTGCCAACTGACAGATAACAGTTTGTATGTCTGATAATTATGGTGGTTTATCGGTAAGATTAGATAATAATTTCAAATACAGATTTTTGCTAGGTTCGGTATTGAAAGTGTTTGGACTAAACAGTCTGTTTTGGCACCGTTATTGGTAAATAGGTTTTGGAGGGCCGAGAAGCTTTCGGTCTGTGCCGGTCCATTACCTTCGTCTGGTTGAACTTATGAACTCCAAATTTTAGACACTTGTAAAAAATAGTAGTGATCCCACCGGGTGCAAGCTATTAGCAAACGCTCTGTTGCCCTCAAATATTCAACGGTCGAGAAATTTGTTAGATACTCGCATGTCTAGTTTCTTTCAGAAGATAAAGCCTTTTCTTTTTACGACATTTGTTTTCAAAAACAAATGTCGAAATATCCATTTTGTTGTATAAGAATCTGGGCGGGAACGTACCTATTTTGCTCTCAGGATCTGAAGCATTGTCTCGTTTGTTTTGTCCAAGGGTTCTCAACACCGACAGGATATTTCGTAGCCCAAAATCGTAATGAACCTGCGTCAACAGTGGTAGTTACTAAGGTTACAGTGGTAGTTACCATGGGGAGGTGGTAGTTACTGTGGAGACGATACTGAGTGGTAACCGTCGTTACTCGTATTGCAACATATTGACGACATATCAGTAATATCAGATATTGTGGGTTTAATTGTCTCTTCTTAAAGTTAATCTCAGTGCTCTCCAGGATTATAAATTGCACCATGATAGAGATAATATCGGTGCAGCAATAACCGCACCTCTTCCGACACTTTATCACGCTTCAGTCAGCTAAATTGTAGTTTAAATGACAGTCATAAGATATTCTCGACGTTGAAATAGCTAAATATAACTATTTAAGGAGTGCTTGGTTTTATATTTAGTTTTATATTGTCAGGCTTGACACCGACAATTTGTACCTTTAATGGTCTAACTTGTCGGAATGGGCGAGGTTATCATAGATTGGGGTATAAAACTGCACTGCATTCCCTTTCAAACCTGTTTGGTGAGTTGCTCCTCACAGAGTTTGTAGAGCGTGTAGAACTTGCTCGCTAGTGATAGGTTCTCAGCAAATCCACAACTAGCCAGTTTCACCCTGTTAGAAATATTGGTGATTATTTGCGGCTGAAATATCGTTCTTCAGAATGCTGGTGATTTATTTGCACACATTTCGGTATATAGTGGTATAGTCTGGTTAGTTATGTAGAAAAATGAACCTGTATTTCATAGTAGAGGCCATCACAGCGTTCCTAAATGCTGGTAAACGGCCTTTAAAAAGCCCTCTAATATGAGGAGCAGTAAAACGCGCATAACTGAACAGACTAGCATAAATTGTCGCCAGTCTAAGACCATTTAATTGGGGAACCGGACACGAGGGCGGAATACTCAGACACAAGAGTTTCGGTATTTTCAAATGACTCACTTTAACGTGGAAACGAGGGCCATCGTGTTCTGTTCCCGACGCATTGACCTGTTTAACTAATTACTAATGACATATTGACATCCCTCGTAATTGCATTACAACTTTTGGGGCTGGGTATTTGTGAAATTGAATCAAGGGTTATCGTGCTCAGTACTACTATTTTGATATCGATCGAAATTACTAAATATTCTATAAGCACTATTGTAATTGCAGTTTTACATCTCTAAATGCTTCATGAATACCCCTTGTAGGTACCACCCGTATTTACACTCAATCCTTGATCATTTCCCGATACGAGATCTCTTTTCATATCTTATGAAGTAATTCATTTTTTATAAAATTCTGTATTTCTGCGATACTGAACATTTTCCAGATAAGTCGGGAAATGCAATTTAAATCAAAACGATAAATCAAATAATCCAACGTATCTGAATGCAGTTAAAGATTAACCATTCACATGCATATTTATACGCTCTCCTTCTTGTTATATGGCCGTTTCTGTCATAAAGATATTATCGAATGTCAAATCAAATAACATTACATTTCAAAGCATAAATAAAATATGAACCTAATGATAATCTGCCTGTCTGGCACCATCATAGCCACGGTTCTGAACAACATACCTAATGATAATCTGCCTGTCTGGCACCATCATAGCCACGGTTCTGAACAACATCTTCAAGTTCTCAGGCAGTTCCTGTCTACCCGCGTAACCTGGGTTCTGTAGAATACTTGGGATTAGATGATAGGTTCAGTATTATATTTATAGGTTTGTGGTGAAATGCATAGTGCGATATGTTTGTAGTATAGCTAACAGATAGGAGGATATTTGAGTACGTTTCATAATATTATCAGTTTTGTTATATATGCTAAAAGCTGTTGTTCGTACCACCGCGATCGCTGGTCTAGACGAATAAAAGCCTATATATTTCATCAAGGATAAGTTCGTGACTAAGTAATGATTCCATTACAAATTGCCCAGTTTCATCATCCTCGACTATTCACGGCAGTTGAAACTTATTTTTAGAATCTAAATAGGTTACCATGGTGATAAACAACCCGAACTCAGGGTTGAGATCCACCACGTCTCCGTCCGTGAAGATGAACTGTCGTTTCCGTTCCTTCCTGCATGCCAGCACGATAGCGATCTGCTGAGCCGCTACTGATAGGACAGGCAGGTCTATTCTGTTGAACTCGTCGAAACACCCCCAGGATCCTGACTGAGCTAGTCCTGCGGGCACGATGCGGTTAACAAAGTGCGGGCACGATGCGGTTAACAAAGTGCGGTTGTGATGCGGTTAACAAAGTGCGGTTGTGATGCGGTTAACAAAGTGCGGTTGTGATGCGGTTAACAAAGTGCGGTTGTAATGCGGTAAGTGGATGTTATGTGTGGTTTGAGTTTTCTGTGGAATGTGGTGACAGCAGGTATTCAAGCTAAATCCGAACTGAAGTTTAACAGGAATCCATTTTTATAGATGGTAGGCAATTAAGTGCAGCTAATTAAGTGCAGCTAAACAATCGCTGGAAACCAACAGAGGTAATCTAGTGGTTCTTTAAATTGATCTTTTATTCCAGGCTGATAAATGGCCCAAACTTTGTGTTTCTAAAATTCGGGTTAATAACTACTTCCGTTCTTTGCTATGAATTTAATCTATCCATTTAAGAATTCTTGCGAACCAATCATTTTATCAGCCATTCGAAGATATGCCAGCGACAGATGTGATTATCTAATCTTTGTTTTCGCCATTTAAGGTTATGTTCATATAATCTTATTAAATATTACGTATCAGTATCTGATATTTATCAGTTTTCTGGTAATTCGTATAACTAACATAAAGTATTATGCAATATGCGTGCTTTAATCAATAACCTGATACCAGCTGTGATCCCATCAGGCGGTACCAGGTCATCAGGTGCGAACTGGAACCTCATTATCTACTCGATTGCTTGAGTCTCGACTGAAGTTTCGTGTCACAAGACAACAAAATCAATTATGTTACGCAAATTGCTTTACAATAACCCGGGCTCTGTTTGACATGGGTATAACACATGAGGGCGGAGGATAAAAGGACGGAATACACCTTGAGTCCCTGCCCTTGAGTTTAAGCCCACGAGTTTCTGCCTAGGCCCCCTAGCCCCCCGCCTAGGCCCCTGTGTATATTAATGGGGTCCTCGTGTGACCCATGGCTAACTCTAGGAATGTGTAAACCCAATTTAAAGCGTCTTAAACTAAGCAAATTTTTGAATTTTGTACAAACATTAATATAATTTAAACATGGCTCATGGCTGAGGTAAGTCTAGTTATTACAAGATCTTGAAATTATAATTATCTTCAAAATAAAGTATAATTTTCGGTCTGATTTTCATTGTAGTTGGTACTCGGTATAACATTGTTTACCTTTGTAGATCTTTCCTAATCCTCTGTAATCCATCTGATCGGAACAGTTGAACACCACAACAAACTTCCCCAGAGCTTTGCCCATATCTTTGGTTGTCTCTGAAATGATGTTACAATAACCTTTATATATTTTTAATATCATCAGTTGAACTGCAGTATATCTCTCACAATTTTCGCCGAAATTCGTGTTAAAGTTGATGTTGTGATGTCAGTAAAATGGCAACAGATATATGTATATATATTTTAATACTTTCAACACTACTATATAACAAATTATTTGAGGATGACTGTTAAGGTATATTTTACCGACATTTGAAGTCAAGGCGTTGTTTTACTGATAGTTGTGGCTGACTAACAATATATTATATATATATATACATATCGTCTCGCTTTATATACTGTAAATATCGTCAGTTGAACTGCTTTGACTGTACCTGCTAGGAGTCGGTTCTATTTTAGTGCGTCAATGTGTTGATGGAGCATTAGGTAAATGGACTTGTTGGCCAACTCCTGCGCATTTAATGGCACAACCTCTGATGTGCTGGTTCTATAAATAATCTGAATGAGCAAGGTGACAAACACGAAGATATTGATAACTTAATCTTGCTTCCACGACGTTAAAGCAATATAATGGCGTAGGTAGATTGAAGTTTTATTTGATAGCTGTTCACAACAACTCATTTCCAGGTATTCCAACTAATGGGTGACACCCATCAATGTCATGTCACACCACCAGCATACTTATTGCCATGAACTGCACGAGATATTTCAATAGCCCCACTCCCCCTCACTCATCCCGTTGTCATGTTTTATGATCATATTATAGGAGTTCTAGCATATCCAGATAAGATGTTATGTTCAATACTTTATTGTCTTTTGAACAATACAGATAAACCCACATTTCGATTATTTCGAACAATTGAATTATCGCGAGGTTACTTTCTGAAGTCACTTAGGATTTTAAGTATCACTATTATTATCACTACATAATATATACATGTATACCATGCTCGCAAAGAAGCCGGCCTCTTAATTTAGAACTTTTGATATAGTTCCGATGTGTTTTGTTGAGATTCAATTTCCATAAACATAATATATTGACAAACTTTAAACTAATACCCATTAAAAATCCTGTAGTCGAAAAGTGGCCCCATCGGCTGCGATAGTCTTAAAGTTACAATTTAACTCCTGAGCAACGTGGGCTCTTGGGCAGTATAGTAATTAGACCACAAACGATTCTAAACAAAAAATGCCTGGCAAGGTTGAACATAACAAACTTCTAATAACCTTTATTGTAATTTCATGAACTAAAAATAAACGTGGGAGAGGGCGCAAGTTTGTTATTAACACGTGAAACCACGTGACAGCAATCACTTTGGATCGTTCTCCAATCAAATCCAAACATTCCCACCACAACAAAAACCTGTTCCAGTACCTCACTATTCCCCACAAGCTCTTTCCCACGTAGTATTTCGCACATGGTCGAGTTAATAAAACGATTGAGGTTATACAGTTCCAATCTGTTAATAGTTATAGAAGGCCAGATGGGCAGTTCCTATATGGTTCGGGTTGTTAATGTTATTTTAAAAGTTGACTCACCAGTTTTACCAGTACCGGCTGGACCGGCAGGGGCTGCTCCCATGCTCATGCCAAGAGCTTGAGCTAAAGTAATGTAGCATCTGTCAGTGAGAGGAGTTATCACCAGTCTTTCTGTACAGCCTAGAGTGGGAGGGTGTTGCAGGGGGGGGGGGGGGGTAGAGGATCGTTATAGCACGGGGGGGGGGGGGGGGGGGTACAGGATCGTTATAGCACAAAGGGAGACCTTCAAAGTTTACAATACAAAACACAGAATCTGTCTAAAAGTAATATTTCGGGTTTCATTCGGTTTATAATCAGTAAATTGAGATGAAATGAGTTTGTTACTGAATACATCTTCTTACCCAGGAACTCGTTTTGGTAAACAAAGTCGACGTTAGTGATGCTGATTTCACATTTATCCACGTCATCCTTGAAGTAGAAGCGGCTCTGTTTCAACCACTCGAAATCGTGTGCATACTTTACATTCTTTTTGTGCTGAAGGTATGGTGGTATGTTGAGACCAATAATAAGTTAAATTATTTCTTGAAATCAATATGTCGAATCTTGAACAATCTATAACCTTTAGAAGGGCGTAAATAATTGCGATTGTGTCGCGACAATCGGCTTCACACATCCCACTTATCATATTACTAAACTCAGTTAATTTCTGTGCGATCCTATCCGACAAAATCACATGACCTAGATCGAGATCGGTAACCCTAGAAGTCATGACATGTTCTGCTTTTAGCATATCTGCCGCTAATTTATATCTTAACTAATAAGTTATGATATCGTCTTGTTTTGGTTAAGAACAGAATCTCGGACAGTATCTTAACGAGATGTGATCGTGAATTTGCCCTCCGCAAATCACATGTCAAAATATAATGAGATTTTGATCCCCCGACATTATCTGATATGATGCTCTTTAATCATCAATTCATCTGTCGCAAGTCAAAAAAGCGCCGGATTCGGTTCCAGACAGTATGGGCACTGACAAGTTGAAAGCTCATTTAGTTTTACTTGACCAATTACTCCGCTCAGTTGCTCAAATCCGATCAATGTATTTGTCAAGGAATTTATTGGCAGCCAAATTTGAATATTTTTGAAGTTCTGATTTTTTAACTCTGACAATTTAGTTACAAATTAACTGATACTATATAGGTTCTTAATTTATTTTCAGTCAAAGATTTTACTTCTTGCGTATAATAAGGAGACATTTAAGTAAAGGATATGACCAGAGGATCATTTCATGAGACGCAATTCTTTATAACAACAATTCACAACGGTGGATTTCTTCCAAAAGTTATGCGGGAAGTTTGTGCTCAGAAATCCTGCATCAAAGTCATACTCTTAAAGAAATATCAAAAAAGCCCTGGACTTTGTGTCCGGGCGATTTTAATGGCCGTGAAGTTGATTGACACGGTGTGACGTCATTTCACAAGACCGTTTTAGTGACTTTAGGTGGCTCAAAGAAATATAATATTGCTATAATAGTCCGCGTGTGGAGGCATACTATTTGTGATTTCAGTACAGGGCATCCTGTTCAAGTTCTGAAGTACAGGTACTTGGCAGGTAATGCGCTCTCCACGTCCTAATTTGATAACAAACTACTTACCAGCTGAAATACAGGTGCAGGTACTTACCAGCTGAAATACAGGTACAGGAACTTACTAGCTGAAAGTGAAATACAGGTACAAGTACTTACCAGCTCCTCAAATATGTCGTGCTGATGTACGTGGATGGTAATGAGAGTTTCGAACTTAGTTCTCTGTACTCGAGTCAGGTTGGTGGTTGTTTGGGCGATCAGCTCGTTCAACTGCTCGCTGAACAACTGCTTAGTCGCTCCCATTATTTTCCTGAAGGTTTTAAGTTTATTATTATTTTCTTATGTGTTGTTATAGTGCCTGCGTTTTAAAGTGTAATCATAACGCTGACTGCTTTTGATAAAACCAAGTTTAAACTGTGAAAGAATGCCATTGGTACCCCCCCCAACCAAGTTTAAACCTGTCATATTTAGCGGTTTTGAGGGCCTCCTCTGATTTCTTAGTCCACAAGAGCTGGAGCCCCAACAGGCCCACTTGAGCTGGGTAAGTGTTGAAGAACTCCAGGAACACAAAGCTGCTGGCCTCGTTTATAGCCATGGCCGCAGTTCTGATAACAGTGTGTAAACTCTGCTGGGCCATCTTCAGGAGACTTGCCAGCCAGATCTCTACGTTACCTGTAAATTAAAAACATTTTAAATCCGTTAGGTTAACTCTCTGTTAGACCCTATTGGGAGGTATTTAACGAGAGCAGAACCCATTAGGTTCATTTACTCTCGTGCTTTTTTTCTGACACGTTTGTAAGTAACATGGCTGTTAAATTCGCCAAATTTTCGCCAAAAAATACGGCGCATTTAGTGTTCTCCAAAAATACGCAAATAATTCGCTAATTTAATAATTCAAGTTTTAATTTTTAGGGCTGTTAAATTCGCCAAGAAATGCGCGGAGAATTCGGTAAAAATGCGGCTGTGGGAACACACAGCATTCTCGGCAATTTTCAGAGAAAAATTCGTATGCGAATTTAATTCGAATAATCGTTTAGTATTGGTAAATAACCCTGTCCAATACGCGCTATTTATTAGAGTGCTGGCACTTGATCTTCAAACATACCCTTAACTGAGTCAACATACTATCCGAGTAACTGGTATAATTCACGCGTCGTTGCTTCATGTGTCAAATAAAGTGGCTCTCATAAAATTATCGTTTAGTATTGGTAAATAACCCCGTAAAATACGCGCTATTTATTAGAGTGCTGGCACTTGATCTTCAAACATTCCCTTAACTGAGTCAATATACTATACGAGTAACTGGTATAATTCACGCGTCGTTGCTTCATGTGTCAAATAAAGTGGCTCTCATAAAATTGAATTTGAAACTTTTAACTTTCAGTTATGCAGACGCAGTGGTAGATGTTTTCAAGTTTTCAAACATTTATGTGCATTTAGTCTGAGTTACAACTTGAAATAGAGTTGCTTGTGACCGACAAAATAGATCGAAACAAAGTGATTCGCTATATCAGGCACCCCGCATCATTTATACTTATTCGATTGACGCACAATTTGGAAGTGAAATCGAAACTTACCCTGCGCCATGACAGGTTTGGAAGTGAAAGTGAAACTCACCCTTCGCCATGATGTGAAAGTGAAACTTACCCTGCGCCATGAAGTGAAAGTGAGACTTACCCTGCGCCATGAAGTGAAAGTGAAACTTACCCTGCGCCATGACGGGTTTGTCCAGTTCGATCGTCTCCTCCTCTTTAGAAACGATAGCCGTTATCTTTTCATAATCCTTTTCGTGGAATTTGACACTCTTTGTGTTGTCGAATACGCTTAGTAGATGTGCCTGAAACCGGAACATCAGATGAAATGAGAATATTTTGTACATCAGAACAGTTTTTACTGGCTCATTACTATTGGCAGCAATAAGCACGACTGCCCAGAGTTACCATGACAAATATCATCAAATAGATGAAATTGCAATTTTTCATTTTGTTCATTTGAGTTATTCCGTTGAGTCATTATTTCTGTGCGGAGCTTTATTTCGTTCATCGATCGTAGGGACAACTGTTGTAGCTAAAGTCAATTTTATTCATTTCACAACTCTCCGTCGAACACAAACAGATTCGAACTACGTAGACCGGGGGCAGCATATTCTCAGTGGAACCAACACCACTGCAAGGCAGTGGGTAGATTGGAACCAACTACCTGTCGTAAAGGGGTGAACGATCTTGCCGTTAAGTTCAATCTTTATTCTTTAACTTTTAAATAATCACTTTGCTTAACCCGCTCTTGACAGCTCTCCGTCGAACAAAAACAGATTCGAATTAATTTTAACAATTAATGAAATTTGATTAATTTGATTTTGAAACTTCCCTGTTTTCAAAGTAACTGAATGTGGGGTACCTACAATCCAAACTCCCAAACTTTATGCAATGGTAGGTGTTTAACTTGTCAGGGGGGGGGGGGGGTTTTAAAGAATCTTCAAACCCCGCTCTTTAATAAAGATGAGCTCGCTCAAATCTGTTTTAGAGATTGCAAGTTATCAAAGTTAAAATGTTAGCTTTTAACATTTCCCCGATCTTACTTTTTGTTCCATACACTTTGTTCTGTACATCATGTACACTATACCTGTATAGTGTGAGGGTCCGAAGCCTGTCCCAAGATCTCCAAGAGAGCTGGGTCTGATACGAAGAAGAATCTCGGGAATAAGAGTCGTTTCTTCTCTAAGTATCTGAGAGAGAGAGAGTTAGGGTGGTTAGACAGCCAATTCTGATCGTTAACTCTGTACACTCAATCGGTATGGCTTTGAACTTTAAAATCTGCGTTTTCAAATCTAACGTTCCATAAGACAAATGTCATAAAATATCTGACTGACCCGGAGAGAGACTTCTGGCAGAGTTCCAGCTGCTCAAGTAGGTGAGGGAGGAGCTGTCCCAACATCTCGTCCCCAACACAACAGCTCACAACACTTGGTGTCTCGTGAGCTCGCGTCATGATCTTCACCCAGCTCTTGTCTATACTCTGGAACCTTTTTGCTTCCTGTACAGAAAACCACCGTTTTTACACGTGTACAGGTCCAGTGATTGAGCTACCAGCCAGCCATTAGCGTTTTTGATATGACGCACGCCCAAAGTAAAACGCTATTGTCTAAGTGAAAATATTTCTTCATAAGCAGACTTTATTTTTGGACCGTTACTTTTGCTCTTCAGTTCAATCACGCTGATTATAGCCATAGAATTTCAAAATTGACAAATTTTCTCTCCATTTTTAGTGCGAATTCTAATCGTAGCAGTGCGTAACAGTGAGTTGTATCTTACTCGTCCAAGTAGAGTTCCCTTCGCTGTGATTTGAAAATCCAAACCACCCACCTTTATGACATCTAATAAATGATGTAACTGTGTACCGTACCTTTGGAAGCTGTTTAGCGATGTCGCCTCCCACGAACACAGCCTCAAGGTAGATCCAGAGGTTTTGAACGGACATCCAACTCTCAATGATATCAGTTGAAGAAGAGAGCTGGGTAACCCACTTGTGGATGCTCTTCTTAAATGGTGCGTTGTATCTTGGGAAAAGGTTCTTGTGAGAAATTACATGTTATTGAGTTATTTGACTTCAAGGTAAACTATTTAGAGAGAGAGAGAGGGAGAGAACTATTTAGTATTTAAGCTTTGATAAAAGGCGATTTTCTGTGGGCGCTTTATATGTTTGATTAAAGTCAATAACAGTCAGTCTAAAGACCCTCTTATTAAAAAGAGGCAGCTAAAACCCACCACCACCCAATACCAACACTACCACCAACAGCCAATGTAAACGAACCTGTTGCTCATTAGAGAGCCCAGCATCATAAGACTATCCTCCATTTTTGACACGATATCTGACACTTGTTGACCTTTAAGCAGTAGCTCTCCCCGGTTCTGGTTGGAGTTAAAAGTGTTGAGAGTGGGGGGGGGGAGAGAGAGAGAGAGAGAGAGAGAGAGAGAGAGAGAGAGAGAGAGAGGGAGGGAGGGAGAGCAGAATTGCATCGTCACTCTCAGTTCTCACGGCACGTCACGACACGCGTGAGGCGAGAGCACGGTGATCATGCGCCTTGACATGATCGATATCTTCAAACAAAATAACTAATCAAACATAAGAGTTTACTGTTTGTTTGATCCACGTGCCCGATGGGATGCTATTGTTAATTATTTTCAACATCATTGTTGATGATCGTTCGTGTGTTTTTATTTTTCATTTTTATTTACCTTAAACAGAGAGAAAGTCAGCTCCTCGTGGTTCCACTCGCTTATAACCATTTTTAATTTAGCTTCGATGTCTTTTTCTTTCACAGCAGAGATGCATATATCCTGAAAGTAACGTTTTGAGTAAATATTCAATTTTTTCCTCATTTTGAATCTTGAATGATATTGAACCGTAGAGTTGCATTAAATATATGAACATATAAGATGAACTTGATTGTTATCATAATTCTCATCTTCTTCTTTATTAGGATATAGTAAAGATGACAGGGTACACTACATCCTTTACATTCCCGGACTACACCACCAGTAACCCAGATTACCTTTTAGAGAGGCTAATACAGGTAGATAGTAATAACAGTGCTCACAATTTCTACTTTTAATACATTCTTTATCCTAATCTATTCATTTATCTATCCAATATTTTACGCAGTTTATAAACCGAAAATAAGCATGTATTGGAAATATTTCAGAAAAATACCCATCTTCTACAAACTATATTTAACCTACAGTAAAATCAACCTATCCAGTCCGCAGTAACCACTGGTAACCACCAGTAACCATGGTAACCACCCATAACTCCACAGGGTCTGTACATTGGTATCATGACGATCCTAGCAGTGGGAGGTAACGGGCTGATAATCTTCATAGGAACAGCTAACCACAGTATACTCAGCAATGTCTCAACACTGCTCATTTTCGTTCTGTGTATGAGCCATTTCCTCCAGGGTATAGGTAAGAAACTTTCCTTTCTGTTAATCCGTCAAGAGTTAAAAGAAAATATTTTCATGTGTCCAAATATTCTGTAGCTCCGTTATAATATGCGGCTTTAAAATCTTTAAATGCCTAAAATTGAAGTGCCTAAAATTTAAAATTTCTTTCCAATTAAATCACTTGGTGGACATGCGCCGTGTTGGCTTGTTATAGTTAGCCTATACTAACTTGATTTTGTAAGTGTAAAAGTTAGCATTTCTGATCACTTGAGATGGGAAGACTGGCCCGAACGAACAGCTCCTTGAATCTCTGACTTTAGAATCGAGATGGGGAGGAGTCCTAACTCTCCTCACGTCCGTAAATGGAGTTTTCTTTGTATCATATATGATTATAATGTTCATTGTATTTCAGGTAACATGTTGTGGATAACACTGAGTCTGATGACCGGCTCCTGGCTGGGAGGAGCTGAGGGGTATTGGTGCAAGCTCTCGGCTGCTTTCCCAAACTACATGGTCCACGTGGCCTACCTGCTGCTAGCACTCATTTCAATCGAGTGCTGCTACGCTATCTCTAGACCTTTTAAATACCGCATCTACATGTCTTTTAAGAAGTGAGTTCATTTCTATAGTAACCCTAGTAACTTTGCTCATGCTCATTGGGTAGTCTTTTCTGACCAGTATTTAGGGATACTCGAATTTAGGCTTATTTTCGGGTAAATGGTTCAAACTTCAAAGATATGGACGTCATTAGTTTTTACTAAAAGCCCATTATTTCACGATATTTAAAGTGAAGCTTATTTCCCCGGTAAATAATTCGTAGAAAGGGATATTCAGACTATTTAAACTTATAACTAAAAACTTATGATTTTCAGCGTTTCGCTGGGTGTGGCCTGCTGCTTGCTGCTCCCAATTCCCGTAAACACAGTCATATTCATCGAGATGGACGTTCACTTCAGTAGCTACCAGGGCCAGTGTATCCAAGTGTGGGACCCCGCTAACCAGAGCCACAAGGTATGGAACATTTCGCTACATTTGAATAGGGACCAAGTTACTGATTGGGTACCAAATTGGGACCAAGATACTAATAGGGGATCAAATTGGGACCAAGTTACTGGTTGGGGACCAAATTGGGACCAAGTTACTGATTGGGGACCAAATTGGGACCAAGTTACTAATTGGGGACCAAATTGGGACAAAGTTACTGACTGTGGACCAAATTGGGGCCAAGTTACTAATTGGGGACCAAATTGGGACCAGGTTACTGACTGTGGACCAAATTGGGGCCAAGTTACTAATTGGGGACCAAATTTGGACCAAGTTACTGATTGTGAACCAAATTGGGACCAAATTGGGACCAAATTGGGACCAAGTTACTGACTGTAGACCAAATTGGGGCCAAGTTACTGATTGGGGACCAAATTGGGAACAAATTTGGACCAAGTTACTGATTGTGAACCAAATTTGGACCAAGTTACTGACTGTAGACCAAATTGGGGCCAAGTTACTGATTGGGGACCAAATTGGGACCAAGTTAATAATTGGGACCAAATTTGGAACAAGTTACTGATTGTGAACCAAATTGGGACCAAGTTGTTGCCAGTAAACTCACTGGCGAGGCACTTAAATTATGAATATTATGAACTGTATATTGAGCAATATTTATAGTAGTACTAGTAGTCAACTTATCTTTTGTATCTGCAATTTTAACAGTTTACCATTTCAGATTTACATGCTAATGATGTTTATCCCATTTGCGATAATCCCCATGTTTGTTATGGTGGTGTCGTATCTCCTGATATTTAACGCAGTCTCGGCACGTCAAAGTGTCGTCTGTCCCACCTACACCAACAACAACCAGCTAAAATCTGAACTCAGAAAGTGAGTTACTAACTTTCTAACTTTCTAACTTTCTAACTTTCTAACTTTCTAACATTCCCGTTCATGAAAGTGAGTTACTAACTTCCTAACATTCTAACATCCCCGTAACATCCCCGTAACATTCCCGTAACATTCCCGTTCATGATCACGGGAGATTGCCCATTTTCCATAACCAAATAGCAAACCATCAGTTTAATATCCTAGGCTATAAACTGAAATGCGTATGGTTACTCGGTTTATTCCATTTTAAGTGCTTCTTTGCGTCAAAGATCTTCAACTAATTTGGATTTGAAGTGAGAAACTTCGTTGAAGAATTTCAACGTAGTTCAATTTAAGAGTGCGATTTAATGATCGAAATTAAAAGCCGATCCCATACTTATGCAAGACTTGGATATTAAATGTAACCATCTGTTATAACCCTCAGGGAGTTTAAGGTGAGTTGGAAGATTGCCAAGATGGCTCTGATAATGATATTCTGTTTTGTGATAACCTGGTTACCAAACTGTATCCTCTCCCTCGCCTTCATGTTCCGGCCTGATGCTCTTAAGGTACGTGGACACTGTTTTTAATTTCATTATCTAGTCTGGGTCAGATTGCTTCATCAAGTCTTCTCGCAAATTCCATACACATTTTTAAACGCGTATTACAATTATAAAACGTTGAATTGCCTTAAGTTGGGTTTCCAAAGAATGATACTGAAAGTTAAATTTACCAAATTTAACGATTCACCCATCACGTTACCACATGTCACCTGCAAGTAGAAGCTGCCTGATCAGAAGTCATTACTCACTTTAATAACGCTCCATCTCACCATTATCTCATACCCTCGTTATAGCATTGCTGCTCAAAGTAGCTTAACAGGTGACAGGAATTGAGGAATTAGTGCGCTGCAACTAATTTTCATAAGCCAATTTGGAAAATGTAACCCCATTGCATGAGTCGGTTACATGGCAAATACCTTGCTGGCCGCTAACCACGTTATCGTGAGTGATAATGGCAGATCTATTATGTATTAGTTCCTAATATAAAGGAGGGGTGAAGCATTCACGAGACACATTATACTGACAGTTACAAGTAGCGGGGATTCAGCTATTTAGCGTGCGTTGAACAGGTGATTAAAAGCACACGTGCGTCAACATGATTTACGAGCTAACATTTGACAGGATAACCATTTCGCAATTTATAATCTCTCGAACAACCGCTTCACCATATATATATAATTTGTCAATATTATCTCATCTTATCATGAATTCACTGAAGTTTAATGTAAAATGCAGTTCACGATCAACTATTACTAAGTCATCTTATAACTTCTAAAAACCATAATACTCATTTTGACTGAAGACGATTTACACATGTATTTTGAAAGCTCCTGCTAAAACAACTTTTCGTATCGTTATATGTTTTAAACAAATCCCCCTCCAAGTAAGTAATCAGTTAACCTCCGCAGGCAATACCCATGTGGCTGATAGACGTGTCAGGCTGGCTTTACTACGTATCCCCCGCAATCGACCCCGTTATCTACACTCTCAGAAACCAATCTCTCAGGTGGGTTCAAATATAGTAACCATAGTAACCATAGTAACCATAGTAACCATAGTAACCATAGTAACCATAGTAACCATAGTAACCATAGTAACCATAGTAACCCGCAATCGACCCTGTTATCTACACATTCAACTCTTGACTTTCTTAGAATGATTGGAGAAGTTGAATCGTTTCTCAGAAATTAATCTCTGAATCTCTCGGGTGGGTTCAAACATCTCGAGATCAGTCAATCTTAAGTTGTTACCAGATGTCAATCTTAAGTTTTAATAAACTTGAAGTTAGCGATATAGCAACTCTCAAGGTGGCTTTAACAGACAGTTTAAGTTTAGCTACTAACAATCTACCAGGAATGCGACCTCTTTATTATATAGACGGAGATTTGGTGCAAAATGATTATTTTGACAGTTGTCAAAGGTATATGAGCGCTTATTGCGACAGATTCTTGCTCTGGTGCTGTCACAGTATAAGAACAGAGTGCAGTTTCCATCGTGACCTCTTGCCATAGAGAAGAATTTCAAAATATTTCATTTTTGTGTTTCATGAAGGCATGTAGCAGTCCTGTAGTATGCAAGACTTGGAGTAGAGGCGTTTAATCTTAATGTTTATGGGTCGATTAAAGATACCGAAAATGGTTATGAAATGGTTATGAAATTGTTATAAAATGGTTAAGAAATGGTTATGAAATGGTTATGAAATGGTTATGAAATGGTTATGAAATGGTTATGAAATGGTTATGAAATGGTTATGAAATGGTTATGAAATGGTTAAGAAATGGTTATGAAATTGTTATGAAATGGTTATCATTATGAACCCTATTTCCTTTAATAAACATGATGAAGGCTTCTTATTTTCTAACTTCTAATATCCGATCTTCTCTAGATCCAGTTTTTCTTTAACAAGTAACTGTGCGGCTAACGCTCCCTTCTGATTCAGGTACAGTATCAGAAGACTAATAACAGGACCGTGTCTGAACATCATGCACCTCTCTAAGAACGTGTGCCACAGCTCCATGAGTGAGCCCACACGCCTCACCTCCTACCGGCCCTCTATCCGACCCTGTCACACCAGCTCCAGGGTAAACTCTCTTAACGACAACCTGCTCTTCAGACCCAGAATAGAGCTCTGCAAGCTGCAGCCCAACAACGAGCCAGATGACAGGAGGTTCAGCATGCCTCAGAACTTTTATAACAGGAGCTCAACCCGGGCCACTTTCAACTCAACTGCAGTACTGTGAGGATTAGAGGACGGTGATCCCCCGACATTTGTGATGAGAGAAGTAAGCTTGTAGAAAATTATGCAGCAAATTTATCGAATGAGGCAAGGAGAGAAGTAGAAGACTAGATTACTTTGCCTGGAGAAGAGGAACGTGAATAAGGAACACATTTAAGAATTAGATAGATTCGTTGGGAAAATTAAGACTAAAGACTCGAACAATAAGACTTGATATTGGTAATGAGGAGCGAAATGTGGCAGCCGATTCAAGTGGACTCTGAGAAGAATTGGAATAGATTTAGCTGTGGTTAAATAATAGTTCCATTTACGCCTCGATTGTTTTAGATGTTCAGAATCTCACCAATTGTCCACAAAAAGTTTATTGGACTAAAATTTGAACCTCTATTTCTAAAGTAGACACAGCTCTTAAACATTTTGTAGCATAATATGATGCCAGTAAAAATTAATTGAGTTATTTATTAGTGACCATTTTAACTACTCTTTGACAGATTTCGACAAGTATATCGTCAAAAGAAAGTTGTTATTACGTTATTTGTTTTATGTTAAATTATCTGATTCATTCGTGTATATTGTATATTAATGACTGCTGTACATTTCCGCTAAAAATATGTCCCTTTCTTCTCTATCATAGTATATCTATCTATCTTATATAATACATTAGTAATCTCATATTTAGCATAATTTAGCACAACTCTCCTTTCTTTGAATGAGAGTGCTATACGGAGATCCACTACTTCGATAATTGACAGTAACAACTAACCGTAGATACTTTAGTTGCTATATTTAACCATAGTAACCATAGTAACCATAGTAACCATAGTAACCATAGTAACCATAGTAACCATAGTAACCATAGTAACCATAGTAACCATAGTAACCATAGTAACCATAGTAACCTTACCTCAATGTCCTCCTTAAACTGAAGTAGAGGCGCCTCCATGATATTTCTCAGCATGAAAGTATCTGACTCAAAGTCGAAGGTGTGTCCGGTTAGTACTGATATCCGTTCCCAATGTCTAGCTTTCAGAGCCTTGTTTGTCATTAGCTCCAGAAGAGGGCAAGTTTCGTTGAAGTCGTCTATCTTTTGCTTGAGAGCGTTGTAAGCTGGCCAGTCCTTCAGTGCTCGCGGCAACTTGCGGCATCTGGAGGAAGGATATTATTGTAGCTTAGCAAATGTTTCATAGCACACTTATTTAAGGGTGGAATAAAATATAAGCAATTCCGCTAGTTTATTCTGTGAGTATTTAGAAGGGAGAAAGTTGTTGTGTGTAATATGTTACCGCGACACTCATATATAAGTCACTCTGCACTAAGACTAACTGCAATAAAAAAGTTTGGTATTAACCTGTTCTGGAAGTCATTGAGTTCGTCATTTATCTTCTCAATATCAATATCTAGCCAGAGGATATCGTAGTAGCCGTTAACCGTATCAATGACCGTGTTGTACAGTGTATAGAGTTTCTGGAGCAAATTCAGCTCTTTCTTCATCTTGCCTAAACAGGAGAGTCGTATATAGAATTTTAAGATTTACGCTACATTTCGATAAAGATCGATTAAACTTCAAAGTACTCGTAGACAGGAAGGGAGTGTCAAATAAACCCTTACGTGGTTACGTGGGAACTGAAAATAGCGATTTCTTCGAGACTTCTTGTCACTTGACAGGTGTTGTAATTATGAACAAAATAACCGGTGAAGCAGAGAAGTAGATTTAAATTTCATCAGAGAATTGTCCAAGAGTCCCACTCCAGGTTTAGGTGCACATTTGGCCGATCATAAAAGAAAAAATCACAAAAATAATAATAATCATGCTGTGTAATTTATCTATTAATAAAGAAATAAAGTATTTGGTACCTAAGATGGGGTATTCCTTAACGGGAAGTCCGAACAAGCCCTCCCCGCTGCTGTACGTGTCGTACTTTCTCCACAGGTCATCAAACGTAGATTGGAATATGGTGAGTCTCACACTAGCCTCCTCTGGTGCCAGACCTGGAGGGTAGTAACCATAGTAACCATGGTAACCATAGTAACCTTAGTAACCTTAGTAACCTTAGTAACCTTAGTAACCATAGTGTAGTGAGTGAAGATGTGGGACAAACTAGGTAAACCCTTTGGGCAGCGATAAAAAATAACGTCCAACAATCAAGAGAACAAATTTCGCCTCTTACCAGTAACCATGGGACCGTTAAGATCGTAGTCTTTAGCGAAGTTTTCCACCTCTGTTTTGAAATTAACGACATTTACCAGCAGTGTTTTCTTGAAGGTGGGCTGAATGTCCACGAGATGGGTCTGTACCTCTCCGCCCTGACTGAGAACCTTTTCCCAGGCATACCTCAGAGTATCCACCCTCTCTGCCTCCTCCTTCAATAGTGGTAACTCGAACTTGTTCAACATCGCGTACGAGTCCTGGAGTGAAGGTAGGTTAAACCAGCTTTTAGATCAGCTACCAATTTACTATTTTTCTAAGCTAACTCTTATTCCTAACGACCATGAGATTGGTCTTTACCTCGATTGGGCCGATGACCATGTCGATCTCAATCTCCTTACTCCGGATCTTAGCAAGAGCTGCCATACTATCCCTCACATCATCTAAATCACTGATAGGACGGCTAAGTTTCTTGCTCAGTTCCTCTGTGGTTATTAGAGGTTATTAGAGAGTTAGAGGTTATTGTTATCAGATAAAAAAGGTTAAGAAATATCAAATAACGGAGTAGTTCGCTGTTTATTAGTCTCATGATTGAAATACTGATATCTGGATATTATCCGGTTGGAAGAGACAAGGACAAGTGAAACAAGGAAGTTAGGAGTAAGGGCAAATTTTCGGCGTCAACGCCATCTTCAGGCTCAAATTATTTCTTATACAGTAGTGTTGAAAGTATTAAAATTTTAATACTTTCAACACTACTGTATAAGAAATAATTTGAGCCTGAAGATGGCGTTGACGCCGAAAATTTGCCCTTACTCCTAACTTCCTTGTTTCACTTGTCCTTGTCTCTTCCAACCGGATAATATCCAGATATCAGATAAAAAAGGGATTGGAGAATGAATATTGTCAATTGTTTACTGTTTATCAATCAGTTCATTCTTTAAAACAATAAATGGTTGATTATGCTCGAAGCTGCACACTCACCGACAAGCTCAAATATTTCCTTCATTCGATTTCTGTATTTCCTGTTCGCCAAACTACCGTATAAGAGTTTCCACCCTTTAGCTTCTGCTATCAGCGCTTCTTTCAGTACAACTGAGAGTTGTTGAAATTTACGATTTGATAAATAATCATAGCGTCTGCATTACGATTAACTTCACGAATTATCTGCCTTTTGCAACATTAGTGACAAGACAAACTTGACAATCCCTCTCATGCTTGTCTCAGAGCAAGCAAGGTGACCAGAAACTTGATGCGCAATTTGCTAAATTTGACAGTTTGATATAATTTAAAGGATCGCCACAGTTTCTTGTGCTGATGGTTTGGAAAGGAGCTCTCTCTCTCTCTCTCTCTCTATCTATCTCTCTCTCTCTCTCTCTCTCTCTCTCTCTCTCTCTCTCTCTCTCTCTCTCTCTCTCTCTCTCTCTCTCTCTATCTCTCTCTCTCTCTCTCTCTCTCTCACTCTCTCTCTCTCTCTCTCTCTCTCTCTCTCTCTCTCTCTCTCTCTCTCTCTCTCTCTCTCTCTCTCTCTCTCTCTCTCTCTCTCTCTCTCTCTCTCTCTCTCTCTCTCTCTCTCTCTCTCTCTCACTCTGGACAGCCAAACACCAGTCCACATAAATTAAACTAGATAGCCGAAATTAAGTCTATTTTCCTTATTTTTGTTAAACTAAAGACTAAAAAGTCTAGACACCAGACAAATATTGTGAAATATCGAACCACTTCGTCTTGGACTCAATTTCAACGTAATATTAATAATTAAACTTATCCCCCGCCACACACCAGATTCAAGAGCGATAGCACCAACTGGAATGGTCTCCGGTATATCAGCTATCTGGTCTATCTCTGTCTCGTACTGCAGGATCATCCCCTCAAACTCCCCTAAACTAGGGTCCTGAGTTAGGAACTCCTGCTCCACCTTCTCCTGGTCAGTGTCCCATAAAGCGTGGTATGGCTGAAAACAGCGTTGTTAATTGAGGCAAACGCTGGATAAAATATACTCTAGAATTAATGGTTAATGAATTTCTGCCTTATATTTAGGTGAAACCTTGAACTGCTCGAGAGCTTTGCTGATTTCAGATTTGGTGGCGTTGATAGCCGTGCTGAGAAGACTAGCCATCTTGGAGATATCCTTGTTTTCACTGATGCTCTTGAAATATGTCCTGCACAGAAGAGACATGTTAATGAAAACTCAGTGGTATTGTTTACAAGAAGTAACATTCGGTGATGGAGGGTTAACAAGTCTGTTACAAAAATTAAAAACAAGTCTGCTTTTTTGAGTTATGGACAATAGAATATCGGACCTGGCAGCGTCAGGTTTGGTGGAAGGAGCAGTAACCACGGTGATTCTGGGAGACTTTGTATCAGGAACAGGGTTGCTGGGTCCCGGATCAGGTGGTTCTATATCCTTCTGTCCCCATTGTAATATACCTAGATTGAGGGATGTTTATTAGAATACAGCGTGATTGAAAAAGAATGTCGGATTTTCAAAATGACAGTTTGGACTTTGGAGTTATATTTCTTTTGTAGAGTACTTCAGGAAACCTAATATGTGCGGTGATAACTTCTTCTAAAGAACTTCAAAAGCCCATCAGATAATACAGAACTACATTATATCATAACTTAAGAAGAAGATATCAGGTGTGTACATCGGCTGACGTTGAGTATTAGTCGGATGCTTGTGTTGAGTCCTTGTTGTATTTCGTCCAGCCCCGGTAACATGACTATTGCTGGTATGGAGAGGACTATGTCCGCCTTGAAGAGAGGAGTTTCTGATTTCCTGCTTCCCTAAATATCGGAGAGTTATTTATTAATGCTTTTCATACAAGTTAAAACAAAGTCTTCATGTTATGGAGCTAGCGTTTGGACTGGATTTTACCCGCTTAAAATATTCCCATCACGATACACAATTTACTCAATAAATGTAATAGATTTGTAGTGTTGTAATTAGTTTAGTATGATGTAATGATCATTTCTAAACGATATGACTAGACAAGCGATTTGCAATGAGCACATGTTTTTAAACATGTGCTCCCAACAGTTTAAAAACAATCCCAAAGGTTTTACAGTTCATTTAACATTATGTCATTTAACATTATGTGATTAAGTATGATGTAATGCAGCGAAATTCACTTGCAAATTTTAGCCTCAAACTAGTCAGATTTTAATAAAGCTAAACGCTCCAAATCTGTCCTCCTCACAATCAACCCAAGTCTAGGTCACAAATCATTAAATCAAAATATGACGCAAATATCCACAGAGCGATGATCTAACCTGTGCGGGAGTAACTTCGTACATATGCAGAGAAGACACTTGGACCCTCTTTTTCAGGGTCTCTAGAGTACTCCTTGTAGCCCGGAGTATGGCTTCCAGGTTCCTATGTTGGAAAGTGCTCCTCAGCTCCTTAGCTTCCTCTTCAAGACTCTCCCTCAGGAGCCGTTTCCTTAATCTGCTCCTTGCCCCGGGCCTCTGGTCTTCCTCCGATTCTGGTAGCCCTCTTACTCTGAGGAAGAGGTGTTTTATCATTACTGAGGGTGTGATCAACACTTCAATATTCATCTTAAAACATTATCAATTATTCGTTAGTAAAGTAAGTAAGATTCCTCCTCTCCTTATATTACCCTCTAGCGGCTTGGTTTACCACTTTTAGCGGTTGTAGGAGGTGTGGGAGTATGTAATGTGTATAGCTAATGTATAGTTAATGTATAGTTAAGTAAGATTCCTCCTCTCCTTACCCTCTAGCACTGTAGCGGCTTGGTTTACCACTTTTAGCGGTTGTAGGAGGTGTGGGAGTATGTAATGTGTATAGCTAATGTATAGTTAATGTATAGTTAAGTAAGATTCCTCCTCTCCTTACCCTCTAGCACTGTAGCGGCTTGGTTTACCACTTTTAGCGGTTGTAGGAGGTGTGGGAGTTCTGGAGCTACTAGGTCGCGTTTCTTCGTCCTGAATCTCGTCCGTTAACTGCTAGATTCACAAAGTTTCAATTTGGAAGAATATACGGAGCTGGCAGCTCATTATTTTAAAAGTGTTTTGAGTTTTTGACTACTATTACAATTTCCCTCTTCAAATTTAGCCTAGCCCTGTGCTTCAACAACAAAGCAGTCATAAGTTGTAATTATGTGCTACAAGTCCAAGTTCATTAAAAATCTTGGGAAAATTGTTAATCTTATTGTTAATGTTAGTTCACAAATTACTCACTGGGTAACTCATCATCATGTCTATAAGTTCATTTGTAGCTTTCTCGACTTGTTTGCTTTTCAACTCTAATTGTATTGCAGCCATGTTGCAAACACTCTGAAGAAGGTAGTGTTAAAAACATTCTCGTACATTACGTATATATAGTACGTGTCCTATCGTGGGATTTTAACCGTTTTTACTTTAACTCGACCCCTTTATTAAAGTCATCAATATATGACCTGCCCTACACAGTACACAATAACTATTAAACTTCAAGGAACGTAGCAGCGACCATTATTAGATGATATCCTAGAAAACTGACCTCTGTTCTAGAGAGAAACTGTTCCACACTCCAAGCAGTTTGGTCAGGAAGTTCACAGAGCAATGTCTGCCCCATCTCTTTCAAAACTGAGTCTATCCTGTGCAGTAGAATATGTTAGAGTAGTGCAAATAATTACATGGTTATTACGGTTATATTACGGTTATATTACGGTTATTACGGTTATTACGGTTATATTACGGTTATATTACGGTTATTACGGTTATTACGGTTATATTACGGTTATTACGGTTATATTACGGTTATTACGGTTATTACGGTTATATTACGGTTATATTCAGAGATCAGATTGGAATAAGAAGCATAAAATATAACCCCTACCCTACAATAAATACACACATAAAAGTGAGTATTTAACTTTTCAAGAGAAATGTTGGGAAAAAGTTTTACTGTTCAGTACCTGAAAGTGCACAGATCGTTTATTCGGTTGATAAGAAGTTCCAACTTTCTCATCTCCCTGGTGATTCTGCCGACATAAGACTCCATGTTAATGCTACTCCACGTTAACATAGTTAGTCCTGGGGAGATGAGGGATTAACACGTACGAGGGTCAGCCGGATGAAGCAACTAGTTCTTAGTGTCTAACAAACTAAAACATAACAATTCGAACGTCTTAGCAACGAACTCATGACAATAGTCGCCCACCCCCAATAGTTAATGTATTCTCACCAGTTCTGATATAGTCCTCTACGTATGCAATGTGTATAGTTAATTTATAGTTAATGTATAGTTAATGTATTAATGTATAGTTAATGTATAATTAATGTATAGTTAATGTATAGTTAATGTATAGTTAACGTATTCTGACCAGGTCTGATATAGTCCTCTACGTATGCAATGTGTATAGTTAATTTATAGTTAATGTATAGTTAATGTATTAATGTATGGTTAATGTATAATTAATGTATAGTTAATGTATAGTTAATGTATAGTTAACGTATTCTGACCAGGTCTGATATAGTCCTCTACGTAGGTAATGTGTGGCTGCATCAGGGGGATGAAGCTGGACGGAATTAGTCCCGTTATTCTCTTCCACTCGTTCAACATCGACTGAGGGGATAATATTTAACACGTGAAGACGAATGAGCCGGGAAAAGAAAATCTCGCGATGATTATTATTCGGAAAAGACATTATTTGTGATACAAAAAATAACAGTAACGAAATAATTAAACCATAAATAAATTTAAAATAATGCTTACGTTGAGAAGGGAATAGCTGGCTTTGATGGATGCCTTTTTCTGTTTGATAAGAAGTGCGGTGGAAGGAATGTCCTGTCCCATTCTCTCCATGCAATCTACCTGTTAACGTGTTAACATGTTAATGTCCAGTACGCCATATTTATATTTTCAAGGCTTCTGGACATCAATTTTAGCGTATTAATTAATAGGTCCGCTTCATTAGCACAACGTTCATGTTTGATTAATAAAGCAGATATGAAAGATAAGTAAGGCATATGAATACCTCTCTAACGAGTTCCAGGATAGAGGGGTCGAAGTTGACGTAAAGAACACCAGTGTCAGGGTGCCTCACCAACAGAGAGGAGTTCAAACCGGACTTGATGACGTCTATCTGAAGGAATGTAATTGTGTTGTCATTAATATATAAATAACTTAAATAACTATAAACTATCACTATAAACTAATAACATTGTCTTCATAATTTTGAAAAATGCAGTTATTTAAGAGTTGTTTTTGTCGGTCGATTGCTTGGCCGGCTAAGTATTTCGCTAAGTATTTCGGCTAATTACTTATATGAGGCATAATTGTATCTTCATATTAATGAATAGAAAAGCTAGACTTGCGGCACCTGCATAATCTATGACACAAAAGAGACACAAAAGAGACACAACAAGACGTTGGAGCATTTGTTATGAAGCAGCGGATTTATTTCCGTGCACAATAGCCTATCTATGTCGATAGAACAGATCTTCATTGTTTTTATTTTATCATCAGCAATGTATGACTGGGAGAAATGGTGGAAGAATGGTTCAACCCGTCGCTTGACACACAGTCACCAAAATAGATGCAAGATGGGAAGTCCGTATTGTTTATCACCTATTCTGTTTCGTTGATATGCTGTTATTGTTGCTCAGATAGTTTCTTTTTAGCAAACGCAAATGTGGTTTGATTTTTGTTGAACTGGACAAATTTCCAATCCTCAGATGGCCGCATGAAATGTTACCACAGTCCCATATATAGGTTTTAAAATTCCCATATTATGTAAGTGTTAAAATGCGGTTACCCGCTTCTATTGAAAACGCATTACGGTTAATCATAATGTGACTAAACTTATTGTTTCAGTTGCAAAATCAGGCGAAATTACAATGATTAACATGACAATGGAACACGAAGCCGACAAGGCGATATTAATTGTTAGTGGATTGATTATGATTCTTGGGGCAGCCAGCAATGCTTTGTCTTTTTATTACTTCTGGCAAGTTAAACCAAACCCTCGACGAAGACGAAACACTAGCACTTCAACCAGGCACCTCTTCAAGATCCTCAACTGCTTTGATCTGCTGATATGTGCCGCTAGTCTATGTCTGTTCATCACAATGTTGTCATCTTCTCGATATATGGAAGACACGTTTCAGCATGTGTTGCGACATTTGTTTCGGTCAACCTTTTTGCTGTCAGTAGGATTTACATACTTTGTAACATGCCTGCTTGCTGTCAGGAGAGCAATCAACCTAACCTGGCCCATTTATATGGTCAAGAAGAAGGCATTGCACAGAGCAATAGTAACTTTCATTTGTGTCATGGTCACATTGGAGGTTATCTATTTAGCTAACCATTTTCAAGAAACAATCGAGCAGGAAAAAGTTGCTTCCGCACATCCTTCCCAAATAATACAAGGCGCGGTTCTCTCATCTTTATTCATCGTCATAATTTCTGCAAGTATATATACCTTCGCAACACTCCGCAAATCATACACCCAAGACCACCACAAACTGACGAGGTATGCCACCGTGACTGTCGGCATATTGTCGGTCATTTTTTGTGCCTGCAACATCGGGCCTCTTTTCGTCCTTGCAACGTTGAAATTTGTGGATTATAAAGATGATATAAAGAACTTCTGCCAGCATGTGTTAGTGCCACTGAACTCTGCTCTAAATCCAATAGTTTACTTCACCAGACGTGCTGAGATGAGATCCTTCCTCATTGACACGTGGGGGAGACTCTGCAAGACTGGGCCACAAGACGAAGAGGACGACGGAGATGATGATGATGATCTCGAAAGCAGGAGATTTTCTCTTCACGAGTTGCAACGGAGGGGAACAAAGATAACGATACTAGGGCGCTCGCGTACAATATTAGAGGTGGACAGAAGTAAACTGGCACGTTTGGAAATACCAGAATAGTAAGGAGATACCAAAATAGCAAGGAGATACCAGAATAGCAAGGAGATAAGAAAAAAACAGATCTGGTGAGAGGCAGCAGATCGATGCCTTCCATGAACTGCCGTACTTTATGTTCACTCCAAAATTCGAGGTTTTTAAACACTTTTGTCACATTTTTGGCCAGATTCGGCATTTAAGCGGGTACCCAAAAGGAGGATATTGGGGGCCAGTGATTGGTTCTGATGATTTTCAGGGATATCTCTTGACCCAAAAAAGAGATTTGAATAAAAGATTCCAAAATTTCAAAAATTTTCTTTAACCACATTTGTCAGAAAACGGCTAAAGTATTCCTCCTTATTCGATAATTTGTCTTTGATTTGATGGATGTGACTCTTTTTACCAATATCCAATCTGATCTAATGTAAAAGAGGGATGTTGGGGATTGCAAGTCTGATGCTCCTTTTTTACTGATTTCTGATTGAATTGAATTACTTTTTCAAATACATGAATTTTATTCTTCAACTTCCCACCATTAGTCATTACTTATTTATTTATAAATGCAAGAATGAAATTCTTTGTCCTGTTTATATAGACTAATTGCTGTAAGACAAGTATTGAATAAAATCAGCGCAAAGGTAACCCTAGTCATCACCATGCATTGTATCTGATAATTCCAACGAAAGAAATGTCACGAGTAAAAATGTTAGCAATGAATAATAAATCCACGACAACAATACTGCGTATGTAAGCCTGTGAGTCAAATATTAAATGCGATTGCTCGATTTGATTTACGAATTTATTCGAATAACGATGCACACTCCGTAGGGATTGAGTTTGGGAATATGTTTAATAATAAACAATATAGTCCAATTCATTGGCCGGGCACTACTAAAGGTGGTGTAACAGCACTACTGTCCGAGCGAATCTGGAATAAAGCATTCCTGTTCTAAAATGACTGGAGAGGAATCGTATTAACAACCATATATTTGCAACTCTGGTAAAGATAAGCTAAAAGGTACCTGTTTAAGCCATGCTTGGTGGTATATGACCTCGTACTCTAACAACACTTTAGCCACTTTGTTGTAACTCCTGATAATCTTCCTGGCATCGTCACTCTCCAGCACTGCTGGGTATTGCTGGAATACCTGAAACATAGGCTGTACACCCGTTACTCTGGGAACCGTTACTACGGAAACATAGGCTGTACACCTGTTACTCTGGGAACCGTTACTATGGAAACATAGGCTGTACAGCAGTTACTCTGGGAACCGTTACTATGGAAACATAGGCTGTACACTGTACAGCAGTTACTCTGGGAACCGTTACTATGGAAACATAGGCTGTACAGCAGTTACTCTGGGAACCGTTACTATGGAAACATAGGCTGTACAGCAGTTACTCTGGGAACCGTTACTATGGAAACATAGGCTGTACACCCGTTACTCTGGGAACCGTTACTATAGAAACATAGGCTGTACAGTGTACAGCCGTTCCCAGAGTAACGGGTGTACACTGTACACCCGTTACTCTGGGAACAGTTACTATAGAAACATAGGCTGTACACCCGTTACTCGGGTAAGTCAGACTAACTACTTACAATCTACTTTGGGTAAAAGACACAAAGCCTTTAGCAATCATAAGGTTTTCATCTTCATGGAATCGATTTAAAACGAGAATTTCGCCGCGGTAACACCGCGCACGATTAAATTTCCCTACTGCCTACAATTTAATTGTTCTACTTTATTGTATCCCAGAGTGGTGTTTGGCGCACGTGATAATCGTTTTCATTATATTAGGCGTGCAGAACTTGAAAATTCTGCGCGCATCTGAAGTGTCGCCGTCGATCTATATGTGGTTTGGTTGTAGATCATTTCATATGTTGCGCGGTTTTGTTTCGTGTTAACGATGCGTATGATCATGTCACGTCATATTACTGCATCGTATGCCAACTTTATTGACTGTAATAAAATATTCTGTCTCATCTTAGTTATTATTTGTATCTAACATAAACTAATACATTTTGATGCTTACTCGACACATCTACAGCACCATCGACTATATAGGATTCTTTAAAAGCATACCGCAATCTTGATCTTAGTTGCTTCTTGAATGTAAATGTAAAGTAACATCTGTTCTTGAATATGTAATCGCTTTTTACCATTCAGTTTCGATCAACTGTTAAATAATCGGCCACGAGTTTATCAGCTGATATAATAATTTAATTTGTTTCGACTTGCTGAATTTTATCACTCGGTAATTTATTAAGCTTGTTTCAACAAAATAACTAAACACTTATATTGATGATTGATCCGCTCAGATGACTAATATGCTATATTAATGAATTAGAGTAAATTTTAACCCGATGGAAACCTGTGTAATAGTCGTCAAGCACCTAAAACTGGTTGCTATGCCAGTAATTAATTAACACATAGCTGGCGTCGCGCGCGCAAAATTGCCTCCTTTTATACACATAATTATAGGGGAGTGGTCTATATTGCGAAGGAGCAGACTTTTGTCGTCAACGTAGGACCGTCGGGCCACCTCATATATCCAAACCCGATTACTTATTCCCTACGATCTTTTTGCCTTCGGCAAGAGCAGGGAAAAAAATTAATCACGATATATATAAATCAGTGAAGGTAAAGAAGTAAGCTAACAAATGACGGTGTATATGTGAATACCCCGTGGTTAGTGCTTACCAACATTGGCTGTTCAATCTTCCTGAACAGTTGTCTTGCCCACGCTATCTTCCCAGAGATAGGAGGCAGCATCCTCCCACAAGGTGGGTCGTTCTTCTGCTTCTGGTACAACTTCTGCACGTTCTCAATATCCTTCCCAAACCCCTGGAGAATCTTGCCAAACTTCTGCTGGGGGTCCAGCGACGATATCTTTAGACCTACAACAATATCTGTCGTACTGTCAGCTCTCTTATATCTTATATGTCTATATCTTATTCTTATGTTTAAATACAGTAACGGAAGGATGCAGAATGGAGATAGGACACGGATAAGAATACAATGAACACTGAATAGGCACAAATATTGATTTGGTAGTCGAAGAATTTGAATGAAAGAACGTTAACATGGTAGTGTAAAGGCTACGGTGTACATTGTACATTGTACATTGTATATTATACATTGTATATTTTACAGTGTATATTATACATTATACATTGTACATTGCATATTATACATTGTACATTGTACCTCTAACATAAACTCACTCTGATACTTCTTAACAAGTTGTAACGCAGCCTGAGTAGTGCTGGGTTTGTCTAGACTGTCCTCCATAAAGCGCTGGATGTCCAACTCAATGTCTCCCACTTGGGTACAAAAGTCATCGTAGTCTGTATCAAAATCCATCTTGCGGTGGTCCAGCAGGTCATATGATTTCTTTTTTAACACATTTATTATCACCATGAACCTGAGCATAGGATTTATTGTTGCAAAATCGCGAACATATCATTCATTTTGGATAGGATTGGGAGCAAATATGAGAGTAAATATAACCAAAAGACGCTGTTAAGCAATATAACGTTATAGTTCATGTTAGTAATAATTGCTGGGACAGGAACAAGACAAGATGAGCAACATTCCAACCTGGTAGAGTACCGCTCAATGCCCTCAATCTTACTCTCCCCTAACTTTGAGTAACTCTCTATCAGCTCGAACATGTGCATTATCTTCCCCAGCCGTTTGGAGAACGTATCGAACTTTCCGAATATGTACATCTCCGAGAACTCGAACTGTCTCTCCTCTGGACTCTGTTCTAGCCTTTTTTTCGTTTTATGAAACGCTGCCTGAACACGAATAGATGGTTTAATCTCAAAGATTTTATCGATCAGCACAGCTGAAGTAATAGAAAGCTGAATTGGAGTAGATTCTAGAAGTGATGTAAACTCTTTTCAAGCGAACTATTGAGTAAACATTATTGTTTCACCTAGAGGACGGAACCTCTATTTTTAACGGTTTACCTGAAGGAGGGGGAGGGGGGGGGGGTTGGGGAGTTTACCTGGTACTCCTTGTTGAGAGTCATGCAAGCTCTGAGTTTCTCCACCACTATATCTCTGTCCTCGTGCCAGAGCCTAACGCTATCATTACATGTTATATAGTTCTTACATGATGTTATCATCTGATTCGTTATCTGCGAGAAGATATTGGAGTCAGTCATTAGAGAGTGATAGTTTAACTAAAATTTCAGAGTTCTGTGATATTGCAGTGCAAATACTCCTAATTTGATCGGTACAATATGATGTTAATAATTGTGCAGTTGTGCACCAATTATGATGATCTACAGGGGTCGCACAATGATTATGATCACCACGCTTTCTCTACAGAGAGTCCTACCTTGATGAACAGGCTGGTCATGCGTTCACTGGTGTTGTAATATCTAGATATACTGTGGATCATCCTAACAGCGTTGAGCAGACCTGCAATGTGGTCCACCATGCTCTGAGGATCGTTCTTGTAGAGGGGGTCACAGAACTTCTCTAAAGTATACAGGAACTTTACGTTATCTTTAGCTTCGTTAGCTGAGTCCGTTATCTGTGTGTCCAACTGCTTCCATCTCTGTGAGAAAATAATTTTAAAAAGAGGGTATTTTCTCCCCTTCTTTTATTAATTACGCCAAATTATTCTTGCAAATTTTCCGTACGTACGCACCGAAAATTCAAATGAAAATACAAACAAAGAAGTTTTAAAAACCTTGATTAATTTGCTCTTTGCAGCAATCATAACTCCAAGAGCTGCCTTGCACTCCTGTCCCTTAATCTGGTCTAACAAGGAGTTGAACTTAGCCATCCTCTTTTTCCAATGGTCAAGTTCTGCTTTTGGTCCAATGTCGTCAGCCTCTTTCCTCATCTGATCTGACTCAGCCAGCACCTGTGGAGATGTATTTTAGTGTTCCCATTCGTTTACACGTTAGTCAACTGTAACCACAGAAACTTTAACCACATAGAACGTCGTTATTTGAGTATTTACCAAAACTGGTAATATCTTTTTGACATAATGTAAGCAATTTTATCATTTCTAGCTATAAGTACACGAGTATATAGACAGTGTATAATGTATACGAGTGTATACGAGTGTACAATGTATACGAGTGTATAGAGAGTGTATAATGTATACGAGTGTATACGAGTGTATAATGTATACGAGTGTATAGAGAGTGTATAATGTATACGAGTGTATAGAGAGTGTATAATGTATACGAGTGTATACGAGTGTACAATGTTTACGAGTGTATAGAGAGTGTATAATGTATACGAGTGTATACGAGTGTACAATGTATACGAGTGTATAGAGAGTGTATAATGTATACGAGTGTATAGAGAGTGTATAATGTATACGAGTGTATAGAGAGTGTATAGAGAGTGTACCTGTTCGATCTGCTTGCACCAGCCTACAAAGCAGAGTTCCACCAGCTGGAGATCCTCAGCACTGTTAGCTACCTCTATGTAGTCTGCTGCTGACTTGTACGCTGTCAGGTCTATCGTATCACATTTCTGCAGTGGGATTAATGAAACAGGTTATAATGTTAAAACATACTGACCAACACAACTCTGTGTTAAAACGATCAGGCATTATCGGTCTAGCTCGGAGCAAAATAGATCTGGTTTGCTTGTTCCTTCTTCTTGTTTAGTTCTGACTAGGCAAGAAATATACAGAGATCTGATGATTATGAAGAACATACCCTAAGGAGAATATTGTCCTCCAGGCTCCCTGAAGCGTTGTTCAGCATTCCGCAGAATCCCTCTAGATTACTCACAATCTCCCACTTCATCTGCTCTCTCTGTGGAGGGGGGGGGTTGTCAGTTTGTCAGTGTGTCAGTTTGTCAGTTTGTCAGTGTGTCAGTTTGTCAATTTGTGGGTTTGCGGAACTTGGCGATGAAGATTTAATGTTTCGAATTTTCAAGATGATATTTGGATATTTGAAATAACTGTCAACAAAGTACAGATTAGAAAATACTTTTTGTAAATGGCACAACAAACAGCACACCAAATAGCTGCTGTGCTCAGCTATGTGTATATTATAACCTTTATTTCGACTAGTAAATATATATTTGAGTAAACATTGGCTGCCACTTTTGGTCAGTTCCCAGCAAAAGGTGACCCACCTGAAGACCGGGCAGATCACCCCAGGTCATATAGTTAGTGAGGGCAGGAATTAGAGTGTTAGGGGGGGGGGGGTACAATAGAGCATTAGAGTGTTAGGGGGGAGGGGGTACAAAAGGTGGCCCACCTGAAGACCGGGAAGATCACCCCAGGTCATATAGTTAGTGAGGGCAGGAATATAAATCATCTGCAGCACCCTAGCCACCCCTTCTATCAAGTGTGCTCCTTTTGCTTCTGTCTTCGTCAGCTCCATGTATCCGAAATTCAGCCACTGTTGTGAAGAGAAATGTTAACTTTAGAATATACACTGAGCAATTCAACTAAAGATAAAAAGCCTTTGTTGTATAGATTTAAATAAGTGACTTAAGAAAATCTTCATAACGATAGTTTTAGGAGTTAAGAAGAATAAACAAATAGCCGCATGGTATGTACCTTACAGTATGGTGCTTATAGTATGTGCTCATGGTATGTACCTTATGGTATGTACCTTAAGGTATGTGTACGGTGCCTATAGTATGTGTACGGTGCCTATAGTATGTGCTTATGGTATTTACCTTATGGTATGGTGCTTATATAGTATGTAGTTATGGTATGTACCTTATAGTATGTACTTATGGTATGTAGTTATGGTATGTACCTTATGCATGAGCATGCTGGATTCCAGTGTAACTGGTTTCTCCACCGTCTTTATAAAGTAAAGTATGGTACAATCAGTCTCAATCTTCTCATTCTTCCCATCAGTTATGTACACTTTAACACGTGCTTTAGCTGGCTTAGCTGGAGGGGCTGCCGCTGCCACTGGGGATATTGCTACTAGGGTTAGTAAGAATAGTAACACATCTCTAGACTGAGAAATCTTACTGGATATATCAGGAACGTCTTTCATTTAACACACAAAAATCACACAAAGATAAGAACAACCTTGCAATTTATTCTGAAAGGAGAGAAACTGCAGACAGTGTATCTTATAAGGGAACTCACCAGTAGTAGTGGCGGTGGTGGCGGTTGTGGTGGCAGCCGCTTCAACCGGCTCTAGTTTCGGTGCACAAAACATTATCAAAGAGACGGAGGGTTTCAAAAAGAACTGATCCATTAGCTCAATCTGGAAGCCCTCGAGTATACTGTCCTCGAGATCAGCTTGGGGCAACTGAGGATTATAGCATGTTAGCTTATCTGGATATTGTTACCCCTAAGTTCCATGCCCGAATTTTCACTCAAATTTTTCACCCAAATAAAATTTGCCCGAATTTTTAACCCAAATTTTTTGCTTCAACTGAAATATTCGGGCTAAAAAAATTCGTGAACTTGCGCACGAATTTTTTAAATTTCACTCAAATAATATAGTCGCTGCGGTTGTAATCAATACTATAATTGCATTTCGTTGTCCTAAATGTTTCTGGGATTACCTAACGCATATCATAATAACACTAATGATAACAACGCTATTACACTACACATCGATTGCACGATTAGCCATTTTATTGAGAAGCTGCAGTGAGTCATTTTCGGGTTCCCATTTCAAGAACCAATGTTTTATTATCTGATATTTAGGACGACTGAGGAGAAGGAGGAGGAGGATTGAGGAGGACTCAGGAGAACTCAGGAGGAGGAGGACTCAGGAGGAGGACTCAGGAGGAGGAGGACTCAGGAGGAGCAGAAGGAGGAGGACTCAGGAGAAGGAGGACTCAGGAGGAGGAGAAGGACTCAAGAGGACTGAGGAGGAGAAGGACTGAGAAGGAGAAGGACTCAGGTGGAGGAGGACTCAGGAGGAGGAGGACTCAGGAGGAGGAGGACTCAGGAGGAGGAGGACTCAGTAGGAGCAGGAGGAGGAGGAGTCAGGAGGAGGAGGACTCAGGAGGAGGAGAAGGACTCAGGAGGAGGAGGAGGACTCAGGAGGACTGAAGAGGACTGAGGAGGACTGAGGAGGAGAAGGACTGAGAAGGAGAAGGACTGAGGAGGAGGAGGAGGAGGAGGAGGAGGGGGAGGAGGAGGAGGAGGAGGAAGCATCTAACTGTTATTTCCACAACATTATTGTCTGTTTTTGTTCCGTCCTTGACCGCCCTACTTTTTGTCCGTTTTGAAAATATAGGGTACCAAACGGACAAAACGGACACAAAACATGATCCCCTCCCCAGTCCTTTTATCTTTATATTAATTTAAGTTGGTCAAACATGTTAATTGCGAAGGAATTATTCTTGACTATGAAAGTTCAAACAACTTAATTTAGATAATATGTCAACCCTATTTTCTAAAATTTACACAAAAAAGTTTATAGAAAATATATGAAGGACACTAATTTGCTTTTGCACATTGGTTGTTACACTAGTTTACGTTATGTTTACGTAATTTTCATCCTAATTTAAACTTGGGTGGTCGCAGTCTCGATCTCACCCGACGCAACCGATACGCGTATCGATTTCCGCACGCAAATTATTTGGGCATGGAACATGTCACCCGAATAAATTTTTTTCACAAATAAAATTTGCATGAATTATTTTACCGTATTATTTGGCCATGGAACTAGAGGGTTACACGTTTTTGGGGACAGAACCAGTTTGGAGTTTGGTAGGAAACTGTGTTAAACAATACTTATCAGGATACCATAACACGAAATGTTAAAGTAATATCCTACTATATATAAAGCGAGACGATATATGTTTATCCGTGCCATTTTACTGACACCACGGCATCAACTTTAACGCTACTTTCCGCAAAAACCATAAAAGATTTACAACTGAAACTTTTTTGACTGGGCCAAATGCTTTAATGGCCTCCAAATCAGCATGAAAAAATAAAAAATTGGCCAAGAAATAGAAGTTTTAGAGCCCCAAATTTGGACCCCCAAGTGGTGTCAAAAACGCGAATTAAATAGATAATAATCATTTTAGTCTCTTGAGTCTTGACACCATTTTAGGGTTATACGGGTTCCTGCTAGTTTAAATAAATGTTAAAGTAATATTTAAATAAATCTTAAAGTAATATTTAAATAAATCTTAAAGTAATATTTAAATAAAGTAATATTACAAACCTGAAGGTGCTCAGAGACAGTTCTGAGCAAATAATTATGTCTAGCATCAAGCCTTCCTCTTTTGTGTTCCTTCTCCTCGCGAGCCTTTTGCTGAAGAGAGAGGAAGATAAGAGAGAAAACTTTAACAACACTGTGAATCTACCAATTGCATAATTAGCAACAAATTGACATTACGTTGTATGGTATTTATTTTGTCAAGTGCTGTTACACAGCAAGGTCCATATTGTCATATCCCCTCCTGAACATTATCAGATCACGTACTGCGCGCCACTAAGTACCTTTGCCAACTTGGCATTTGACACCATCACAGCCACCTCCATCACACCAACACACAGTCACTAACACAGTCACTAACACAGTCACTAACACAGTCAAAATAACACGTATCACAACAATAACAACTACTGACCAATTGTAACAAGATATAACGATAAATCAAGGAGTTAAAATACTCGATCAAAACATACAACAGAACAATTCATTTGAGTGAATTGAAGCTGGCCGTAAAGTGGGAGCTGTTCCAAGTAAATAGATTAGGTGTGATTACAGAGTTACAGGGTGCATGATCCTGCCATATGGTTACCGGGGTTACCATGGCAACCGATATCCCGCCAAATGCACCTGCTAGACTTTCATTTTTGAACATACAGGCAACATATAGAAAATGTACGTGATTGTATTGTTACACGGTAATATGAATCCGCGAACTTAGGTTAACGTTCACGACAAATATCTTTCAAAAGAGGAGATCTGCAACTGTAAACTAATTAGAACATTTCAATGTTGTTTTAACAGACTTAACAGTCTAAGCTTGTTGGTTATTATTAGTAACACACTAGTAACTATTAGTAACCCAGTTGTAACTATTAGTTACCCACCCTAAACTGTACAAGAACATCCTGTGCTTTCTCGATGACATTAACAGTCGGTCTTTTTCCCTTGTTGCTAAATACTGGTCCCGCGTATTTCTTGTCTTTATCTGTCGTCATGGTAACAGGATATGGATGCTGTAGTTCCCTCAGTGGGTGATCTAAGAGTGAAACTAACTAAACTCACTCGTCAGAGTATATCTTCCCAGGTCTACTAGCGACTCTCTGGTAGAGAGGTATCCAACTACTTCCAACAACAAATAAAAGTGCCGACTAGAATGCAACCAAAAAAGCAAAAAAAGGAGAGAAACAAGCGAGGTTTGCACAGTAGGTCACACTACAGCTAGTACGTCGGAAGTGAGCAGTTAGGTAACGAGGAGCAAGACACGGCCACTACTTCGGTAATGGGAACATTTTAGCGGCAAATAATGGGCAATTATTGTCTGAAAGCTCAGTAAACACTAGTGAAGATATCACAGAAAGTATCAGTATTTAGGTTGTCATGGCAACGGGAGATGATGAAATACAACCCGGGCCGAGCAGGGCTCACAAATTTTATCTTGCACGGTAATTGTTGAAATATTGTCACGCTCTGTTAGGTGAAGTTGGGTTCCACTGCTTCACAGGAACTACTTCGGGGAAGTTACTCAGAACACCTTTCTGTAAGTAACATTGTAGAGAGGATTAGAGAGGATTAGAGTGATTGGTTTCATTACATTGCGGACTTTCAGCAGTCAGGAACCCGAACACAAACTATTTAGAAACTAATGAATATACTTAGGGTACATTCACACCTTCAAGTATGTTCAAATAAGGAGTAAACACTAAACAGTCAGCTTTACACAGACCTGACTAAGGGCGGGGAGTTGGTAACAACACTCTTACGCCACCTCCCCACCATTACCCACCTCTTTAGTCACGTGACACTAGTGTGAGCTTGTAACATCACCTCTTTAGTGAATTTGTCACGTGACACTAGCTTTTAACATTGTGAGAGTTTGGACATTCATTATCTTGTACAATGTGACACAGCTGGGTTGTGACCCGTTCTTGTTTGTACGTCACTCATTTCGAATTACCGATACTGAATTTGTTTACAATTTGCTTACTAATCGCTCTTCGATTGTCATGGCTGGTTTTTAGAAACGACCTGTTCCCAGTGCATCAAATAGTGCCGTACAATAATTGTCTCATGAGCTATTGAAATTCGCCGCATAATCATCACATAATTGGGTAATATCTGAAAGTCTGAATCTTAGTTAGTTAGAGTCGACCAGCTGTTTGGATACGTGGTATTTAACCTAATAATATAACAACTGGTGATGTAAAATCATAGGTACATAAAGATTCAACCGTGCCCTTACACAGAACTAAACAGTGCTCACACTATGGTATATTTAGACTTGTACCATCAACCTTAACTACCAGACGATTGATAAGTTGGGGATCTAGCCTATTATTTCTTTTAAAGACACTCAAAACTACCCAGATATCTAGGAATATGATGTTGCAGGCGGGACATTTTTAAAACTTAACAAAGTACAGTTTTTGAAGGAGAATAACTTACCTGAGCTGCGTTTTGCCGAGCTCGAGAAACAGTTTTCCTAAAGAACAGGGTAATGCCAGTCAACCCTCCTTTTGTCTTCATGGTTGCTCTTTGAGGTTAGGCGGTATTTTACAGTGGTTTCATAGACTATTCATACCGTCGTGTTTGTCAGTCATCAGTCATCAGTCGTCAGTCATCAGTCATCAGTTGAAAAGTCGTCAGTCGTCAGTCATTATTGGGCTTTTCAAAGCTTTTAGCATATTTTTGAGCTTGAGTTAAAATCAATTTTCAGATAAATTCCCATCACTATAACTTTACGTGCAACTTATCATGAATGAGAGGTGAAACAACAAGTGTTTATGTAGTAGTGATTAACCGATATTGTGTCACGCATCCAGGTCTTTGAGGAGAGTTCCGCCGAAAAGTGCTTCACGAGAATCTTTTTATAACTTGATGGTTTTAACTAACACTAACGCAGTTCATAAATAAAACTAACGCAGTTCATGACTAAAACTAACGCAGTTCATGACTAAAACTAACGCTGTTCATGTTTTAACTAAAACTAACACAGTTCATGACGAGACGACGGGCGTAGTACGCGGAGGGGTCCTTCCTATCCTTGGTGAGAGGCTCCAGCCCAACCTTGTTCACTACCGAGCTCAAAGTAAACTTCCTCGTCATACCGACAAACGAATAAAACATAAATACCAAACAAAATTAGCGGTAGAACCTGTCAAATTGCTCACCAAATCCAGTCGGGCCACGCGGACCCCCCGGACAGGCCTGGTCCATCAGAGGAGATTAGTTCCTCATCAGACTGCAGTGTCGGTAGTGTAGCGGCAGAGCGTGCTGGGACTGTGGGAGAGGACCGGAGTGTGGGGAGAGCACAATTAGACAAGCTGCAACTCTATTTGACCAAGCACAAGCAGGTCGGATATTTTATGAGGGATATATTGTAGCGGTCAGCTCGGTGGGAGGCAATTTAGTGGTTGTTAATTAGCATGACAAGTGCGATCATAGCACAGAGAGCGCTCAAATAGCTGTCGGACAAGTGCACGTAGCTGCTGGGACACTCTGATGAGAATTCTGCGGAAGTTCATCAAACTGGCCTACTTCTTATATTCTAATTTGGGATACTCAGCAGATAAGAACTCTGCAGGAGTTTATCAAATAGGTCTGCTTCTTAAATTCTAATATTCTGAATATTCAATCATATTATTACGGAGTGCTGAACTAAAGCTTAACTGACTGGGAGTCAGACATACAACGTCGGAAATATAGTATAGGAGAATGCTACAGAAGTACTCACAACTTTGTGAGTGAAACAGAAGGTACTCACAACTTTGTGAGTGAAATAGAAGGTACTCACAACTTTGTGAGTGAAATAGAAGGTACTCACAACTTTTTAAGTGAAATAAAAGGTACTCACAACTTTGCGAATGAAATAGAAGGTACTCACAACTTTGTGAGTGAAATAGAAGGTACTCACAACTTTGTAAGTGAAATAGAAGGTACTCACAACTTTGTGAGTGAAATAGAAGGTACTCACAACTTTTTAAGTGAAATAAAAGGTACTCACAACTTTGTGAGTGAAATAGAAGGTACTCACAACTTTGTGAGTGAAACAGAAGGTACTCACAACTTTTTGAGTGAAATAGAAGGTACTCACAACTTTGTGAGTGAAATAGAAGGTACTCACAACTTTTTAAGTGAAATAAAAGGTACTCACAACTTTGCGAATGAAATAGAAGGTACTCACAACTTTGTGAGTGAAATAGAAGGTACTCACAACTTTGTAAGTGAAATAGAAGGTACTCACAACTTTGTGAGTGAAATAGAAGGTACTCACAACTTTGTAAGTGAAATAGAAGGTACTCACAACTTTGTGAGTGAAATAGAAGGTACTCACAACTTTTTAAGTGAAATAGAAGGTACTCACAACTTTGTGAGTGAAATAGAAGGTACTCACAACTTTGTGAGTGAAATAGAAGGTACTCACAACTTTGTGAGTGAAATAGAAGGTACTCACAACTTTGGCCCTCATAGTTGACCGGAGCCACATGACCGTGGAAAGTTTCTTGATTCCCGCTGACCTCTTTGTCATCTTGGGGCCGCCTCTTTGACAAGCTCAAGTAAAAAACGAAACTCTATCTACAATATAAGGGAGTCAGCTGCAAACAGCTGTACAACCAAACGTTAACGAGTTTTTCTATTTCGTAAAAGAAGACATGCTCAACAGCTAGCTATAATATAGATTGAATAGGGATGTGGGACTAGGAGAGGGAGCCGTTATAAATGATCAAATCAATTCATATAATTCATTCTCAGATTACCCAGCCCGCACCGTAATACGGAATTCGAAATGCTGGCCGGCTGGACACACAGAGCCAGAGTTAAACTAATAACTATAGAAAAACGGTTTATGATTTATAAGCGGGATCTAGTTCTGTGTGGCTGTGCGTGGTGCGATACTCGCACATTTGGCAACAACAGGTGCTTTTTAGGTATCCATAGCAACAATACAGTTCAGCTAATATCGAATTACCGGTGCATAGGTTAACTGCTAAACACCTGTTGTTGATTATACAATAAGGACACATCAAGTCATTGCCTTCATTTTTCCTATCTACTAATGTCAAAATGCTCCAAACTTATCTCTCATAATATATAATAAC